AGGGCTCGCTCTGCCGCCCGGGGGCTGATGCTGCCCGCTCCTGCCCCAGCCGTGAGGGGCCTGGGGCTGTGAGCGGGCGTCCCCAGTGTGGTACCTGTCAGCAGCCGCTTCGCTTCCTGTGTCCGAGCAGAGGAGAGGGCTGGGGTTCTCCAGCTTCAGCCTGCCCGGTGCTTCGCTCGGCATGCCCCGCACCTGCTGCGGCTTCTGTAGCCTCCGGGCAGAATTTGTCCTCTTTATTAGAAGAGTATTGATGTGTCTATTTAAGAAAAAGGAACGTTATTTTTCTCCTCTTGCCCTCAGATCAAAATATACCCGTCAGGAGATGCTTTGGGAAATAATTTATGAAGGGTGGGAGAGATGTGGTGGAAATACGCTTTCACAGAGATGAGATTTTGTTTCTTTTTTGAGTTCTAACAGTATGCCTGAAGACCATGAGCAGAAGTAAATGCATCTTTCAGAAAATCTTCCCTTAATGTTCTTATTTTTCCAAGAGCTTTTGAATTTCTTCCATACATGCTTTTAGCTTGCTTTTTGTTTTCTGAAAGTCAAAACAAGTGGTCATATTGGATGGTTTTCTGTCTGCGGTGAGCTGCCAGCAGTCTTTGGGATAGATTTTCCTGTCTTGTGGTGTGAAGTTTGTGTCTTCATAGCTGTGCCGCTACTGAGGGCTGGGTTCTGGGCCATAAAAAGGTTGTCTTAGCACTTCAGTTTGGGAGGGAGAGATCTTTTTTCTCTTTTTGGCTTGGTGCTCTCGAGCTGAGGGAGTGTTTGAGCATTCTGCTAGGGGGGAAACATAGGCCCAGAAGTTTATTCACAGACTTCCTGTGAATGCACTTAATCTCTGCTGTGTGGCTGCTTTTGAAGTTAATCTAATCTGAAATGTGTTTTCCCTTTTTCTCTTTGCTCTTTCACGAATAAGATCTGTGATGGTTGGAGTAAATGAAATTGAATAGACAAGTGCTTGTTTCATGTTACTTAGCACTGGTTAGATAATACTGCATTTCAGAAAATAGTCCTTGTTTAGAATTTAAGTTCTCTGAAGGTGAAGTCTTTTTTTTGTTGTTGATTACTAGATTTGTCTTCATAGGCTACTTGCATGTAGTGAGATATGTTGAAAAGGAGGAGGCTATTGAAGGAACTACTAGTGACTTGAGTTTCATGTTAGGACTGACTTAGGAGGATACTCTACAGTCTGATGAATAAAATCAAAATAACAGGATCAGCATTACAGATGTGAAAATTATGCTTGGCTCTAGCCTGCTTCGTTTCATATATATGCAGCTTGGTCTAATTCCTGCCTACTATAGGCAGCCAAGTGCCAGAACACTTAGCTAGAAGTTATTGGCGCCTTTCTATTATTACTGAGAGTTTTTTCCACTTGGAGCAGATATCTGAGTGTTCGGAGACAGAGCTGCATTTCTATCCGTGTGGTATAGACTTTCCGGGAACTTTAACCTTGTATTTTAGCCTTGTTGGAGCACATTTTTAAAAAGATTTATTTCGTATGTATTGCTTGCTCCTGTGGGTGTCATGTGGCATTTTTCATAGTTTCCAAACACATACTTGTCCTGAGGGACTGAATCACTTTGTATTTCCAGATTTTAAGTGTTATGCTGAGGCTTGGTCTATAAAGCAAAGATCTGTTTTTCATACTAGGGAGGTGACTTTGCTTTTGACTTGTTTGAAGCTCAGTAAGTGAAACTTACTGACTTAATAATTCTTCTGCTGGCATTCAACCATATCTTGAAGTGTTAACCTTCAACTGCTTAGCTTCCTGATTTGCTTCCAAAAAACTATTCTTGGGTCAAAAAAAATTAACAACTGTCTTGCTGCACTAGTAAAGCAGAACATTATTCTGAAGAAATATGACAGGATTGCTAAACTATGACTTAAAGGAACACTGCTTTTTTTCTTCCTTCCCTTAGTTAGTGTATACACTTTTGTTCTGATACTCATCTGTCTAGCTGGTTAATCAGATTGGTTGCCTTTTAAATTTATATTAGCATTCTGCTTTACCAGTGAACCAGAGTCTTCCACGCTTTTTCTTATCCATAATACTGGTCCTTAGTGAGGGAATGGGGCACCTGGAGGATGGACTCTAATGTTGTCACTATCATTTATGTAGCAGTAAGGCTGAGATTCTCAGCCTGTTTCTGTTGTGGGCCACTAAAGATGGGATTGCAGCTATCACTGAGGCAGGTTGCATGTAGCTTCTTTTAAAGAGCTGTTGGGTCTCATCTCCTTTCTCTCTTACAGAAAGGACTGGGAGTTCCTACACTACAGATGAAATCTGTTTCTACAGTTTATTAGGCTGTAGTACTTCAGGAAAAGAGTACAGTTCAAGGAAGAGGAAAACTTAATGCTTGCTATAAAGAGTCTGTTTGAAGTCAAAACTCTGCCAGTTAGTGACCACAGCAATGAAAGAGGAGGCTGAAATGTAGACAGCTAAAACATTTCAGTGCAGAGAAACTCACTTACTTAAATTTAAAGCTACAGAGGTGTAGATGACTGGAAATCAGGCTCCAGGCCTTTAAGCTAGCAGTCAGGTATGTAGAACCACAGAATAACAGAAACTTAGGGGTTTTTTTAGTACTTTGCTCTCATTTCTTTTCAGTTGGTTCCTGTTTTTATGCTCACAAGTATGTCTTCTATTTCTCAGAAAAGTCACACTTGAGCTTGCTATGAGTATCTGTCCCTGTGTAGTAAAGACTTTCCAGGAACTTTAGCTTGTATTCAGCCATGCTGGAAGAAACCTTTAAAACAAAATCACACTTTCTTATCTGCATTTCTCTTTTTCTTTTGCCCAAGAAATCTCAGTTTCTTATCAGCATTTCTTTTACTCCTTTTTGCAGTAGAAGAGAATAATAATCCTGTGTGGGGCTCTGAATCCTACCTTTTGTTTAAGAAAGGTATTGAAGTTTTGTAATAATAGAGAGATAATGTAATCAGGAAAAAACTGAAATCTGAATTCTGCACCAAACTTTGAACCCATGTCCGAACTTCTGACTTCTGACTGTTCAAACTTCAATTTATTCAATAAATCGAAGGAAACGTACATGTAATTACAGCTGTGCTTATTGCTTTGATGTCTGCAAGGTCACAGTTTTTCTTCTGACTCCACAAGTGCTGGTTTGGGACTGACTTGTCTTGGTTTCCTGAAATAGATTGTTTTCCCAGATGGTACTTTTGTCTAAAGAATGTGAAATCCTGGAAAAGTGGAAAGTGCATGCAAGTTGAATATAGCTTGTGTAATATACCTACTTGTATAAAAGGTCCTTTTCAACTCAAGCTATTCTATGATGCTGTGTAGCTTAAACTCTGAGGCAGGGGGAGTCCTGAAAGCAGTTCAGGCCCTTTAGTTTAAGGGGTTGCTATTTCTGGTACATGAGGCACACAAAAATGTGGTTTCAGCTCATCCCCTAAAGCCATTTCACTGCTATTTACAGTACTACAGGAACCAAATAGGAAAGTGTTGTTCAACTTCAGTCCTGTGAAAAAGCTGATTAAAATATTGGGAGGCTATTTTGGAGAGTGCTTTAGTTGGGCTCCCAAAAGAAATTGCAAGTTGTTGACCACACTTGGCCTGCAGAATTCTTGGATTAACTACAGTCTGCATTCAGCATGCCCACTCTCAACCAAGCAAATCACATTTACAAACTGCTACTTTCAAAGTAGGTTTTGCCTCTGCTCCAGTGGAAATAGAACATCTGGGTGTTTATCTAGTATCAAACCTTTGAAAACCATCAGTATAGGATATGCAATAGCTGTGCTGCAAAGTATTCAAAATAACCTTTGAAGTTGTGACTTCTCTACTCCTAGGTACCCCAGACCATTAAGATGACTGCTCTAGTTAGTGCTTTATTGTCCTGGATGCTTTTATGAGTGAGATAGCAAATTTCACTCAGTTTTTATGTTAAATCGGTCAACTTTTAAAAGCTCTATTGAATGCAGGAAGAAGAGGTAAAGGTAACAAGAATGTTGTCATTTTTTTGGAAATTAATATGTAACTGAGGAGGCCACTATAGCTTACACTGGCAATACTTGATTCATGGTAATGCCTGATGTATTCTGCAAAGTCAATGGTTATACTGTTTTAGGTGCTAAAATTACAGTGTATCACACTGTAGATACTGTAGATAGTACAAGAGGGATGCCACACTGGTTCTGCTGGAATGTGTAAAGGAAGAGAGCTTGGTTTCTTCTGAAATATCTTTGCCTTCGGTATGAAGTATTTTTTTCATCTTGCTCTTACTGTGGAATCAAAGACAACTGGAAAATAATTGCTGGGCTTTACCACAGCAGCTCAGAACACTAAGCTATTGTTTGCCTTTTTTCTCTGTTAAACTGCTGGAAAATGTGTACAAGAATTAATTGTTAGTAGACTTGGGCATATATTGCCCCTGTGGTAAGTCTCCTCAGTGGGAGGGATAGTTGCAATCGCTGCCCAGAACCGTGAGTAAAGCATCAAAGCTAAATGATTTTATTGGTTTTCATCTAAACAAAAAAGCAGTCTGGTGAATTCATCACTTGTGTTTCAGGTACAGTACTTCATGCATCAGTATCCTGATTCTAGTGAGATGCTAGTGTTAAAAATACTGGAACTGCTGGTAGCTCATAAATGAGTGTTTCTTACTTTTGTATTATTAGGAGTAGATATTTGCAACACTGAAAACATCTTGCTTTAAATACTCTAGAGCAAGTGGTGTTTAGGTTTGGGAGACCTCCTGGTTAGAGGAGTCTGGTATTGGTGAAAATGGAATTACAGATAAATAGATCTTTTAATCCTGTGCTTAGTGGAGCTAGTCTTGTTATAAGCATCTTATTTTATTTTTACTAATACTTTAGTCAATGTCAAGAAAATGGCTTTGAAAGAGAGGCATGAAGAGAGTTTGAAAAAAGAGAGGTTGCATATATGGCATGTTGCTTTGTAAGATAACTTTAAAGCAAAACTACCAGATCTAAAGTGTGCTGCTGTATAGTAAGATCAGTGTAGTTTGGATATAGCATATTGTTTTGATTCTTATACATGGTAATAATAATAATAATAGTTCTTAAACCAAGCAAAAAGGAGAACTTAAGGAGTAATCATAGCATGCTTTGGGTGGGAAAGGACCTTAAAGATCATCTAGTTCCAACCTTGCTGGCATGGGCAGGAACACTTTCCACTTGACCAAATTGCTCAAGACCCATCCAACCTGGCCTTGAGCACTTCCAGGGCTGGTGTAATGGGGTGTCCAGAACTTCTCTGGGCAACCTGTTCCAGTGCCTCACCATCCTCACAATAAATAATTTAATCCTAACATCCAGCCTAACCCTCCCCTCTTTCAGTTTAAAGCTGTCACTGTGTCCTGTCACTACATGCAGAAAGCCCTGCTGGCTTTCTTGTAGGTCCCATTAGGTACTGGAAGGCTATTCTAAGTTCTCCCTGGAGCTGCCTTTTCTCCAGGCTGCACAGCCCCAGGTCTCAGCCTGTTTCCTTAGGAGTGGTGCTCTAGCTCCCTCCCTGGCTATCTTTGTGGCTCTCCTCTAGACTCACTCCAAAAGATGTGAGGTTCTCACTCCAAAAGGTCATTCTTATGTTGGGAGCCCCAGAGCTGGACACAGTACTGCAGGTGGGGTCTCACAAGAGCAGAGCAGAGCAGAGCAGAAGAATCATCTCTTGGCCTGCTGGCCAGTTTTTGTTTGGTGCAACTTAGAATGTGATTCTGGGCTGTGAGTGTACATTGCTGGGTTGTGTCAAATTTCTGATCAACCAGCACACCCAAATCCCCCTCAGGACTGCTTTCAAGCCATTCTCCACCAAGCTTGTATTTGTGCTTGGGATGGCCCGGCCCACGTGTGGGGTCTTGCATGTGGCCTTATTGAACTTTGTGAGGTTGGCACAGACCTACCTCTTGGACCTGTCAGAGTCCCTTTAGATGTCATCCCTTCCCTCCTGCCTGTTGATGGCACCACACTGCTTGGTGTCATCAACAAACTTGCAGAGAGTCCGCTGTCCATATCTCTGACAAAGATGTTAACACAGTGCCAGTCTCAGTCTTGACCCCTGAGGAATGCCAGTTGTCACTATCACCACATTAATGTTGAGCCATTGACTGCAACTCCTTGAGTGCAACCCTCCATACAACTCCCTATCCACTGAGCGGTCTGTCTGTCAAATCTGTGTTACTTCAGTTTAGGGGCAGGATGTCAGGCTGAACAGTGTCAAATGCCCAGGTCCAGGTAGATGATGTCAGCAGTCAGTTGCAATAATTCTGTTGAATATCCTGCCCCTCATAAAACTTTGTTTCCAAAGACTGGCTTTAGAGAATTTAAGTTGCCACAAGTCATTGGCATATTAGCTTTGAAGATTTCACTCAAAGACTGAGTCACTGAAACACATAAATACTGTTCTCTCTTCCCAGAGGCAGTACCTCAAATTTCCTTCAGTAGGTAGTGATGATTGTGCTGGTTCTTCACCTGAGGGAAGGAATTCTAGAGTTCATTTGGAGCAGGTTATCCATTCTTCATGCTTATGACTCCATAACTGCTACAGCCTTTGTTCAGAAAGAAAATAACCTGAAGTTAAAGAGGGTAAAAATTAGCGATGAGCTAATGTTACAGGGCATCCATCTCAAAAGAAGAAATCTTTCTTTGCCAAGTCAAGCAGATGTAAAAAGATAATGGGTTGTTATCTAACTTTCAGTGGGGTACTGACTGGGATTGGGTTACTTGGGAGTTGCTTCAGGCAAGCTCTGTTCTTTCAGGCCAGAGTTAGTGTGTTTTTAGATGTTTTGGGGATGCCACTGTGTTACTGGTGCGAACCTGCGAGTAGTACCAGTCTTCAATCAGTAACAGGGAAACCTGATTTAACACATTTGAAAATAAAGCTAATGCTGTAAATGGAGAGTGACAACTTCACTCTTGTACTTAATCAGGGAATGTCTGCCTAAGTTCCTTGTATATGCAATGACAACATAGTGAAATAAAAGGGAAATGAATTTCCTAACTACTCAACATGCATTTGTTCCAGGCATTGAAAATAGGAGTACTTAGAAGCATTCCTTAGAACTTAGCAGCTCCTAAAGCAATGATCCACTTGAGCAGTTTTAGGCAAGTTTCACTAAATTCCTCTGTGTGTGTTTAGGGAATAGATATTCCTGTATGAAATAAGCATGTCAGGATGTTAGTGGTGAGATTGCTTAAATTTTTACAGCACATGAATGGTACTTAGTCAGCTCTTTAATGCTCTCACAATGCTTAGCTAGTAAGTAAGTTTCTCAACCTCAAATTCTGTTTCAGACTGGAAAACAAACTGTTCAATGTATCCAGGTATCTCCTTACTGTTTATTTGAAGAATTGCAATAGGGCTTTGCTTTAGCTGGAGTTACAGGTAGAGAGGCTACTCAAATAATTTTATATCATACAATTTTCAGGAATAAAGTATTTTGGAGATGACATAAAATATACTTGAATTTGAATGTGCAAAGGTGCAGTGAAAGTAGAGTGATTGTAATATGACAAATAGGGTATAACTTACTGGAACCTGGTACTGTTAAGGAGTAGCTAGTATAAAAAATGCAGTGAAGAAACTAATAATTCTTGTGCAACTTGGTCCATGTATTGTTTGGTAAAGATAAGTTTAAAAACAAAGTATTTTTGTCTTGAAGCATATTGATGATTAGTGAACTTTGGTTTTAAATAAGAATCCTGAGTATTAACAGGATGTCTCCTTTGTTTTCAGGTGTTGGCACAGAATGAATATAATTAGAGAAAACAGAGATCTTGCTTGTTTCTACACAACAAAGCATTCATGGAGGGGAAAGTAAGTAGTTTGTTAATTTTGGGTTTTTGTTTTTAAAGTTTTGTGTGATGTTTTTCCTCTTTTTTATTGGATTTAACTGCATAGTTTTAACTTCATCCAGCTGATGAATGAAAATTGAACTAAAGGCTCCTAGTGCTCAGTGTCTAAATTAAATGTATCTTTACTGGAATCAGTTTGGATTTTAAACACTGTGGTTTAGTCTTCTTCTGCTTATGTTCCCACACTGCAGTGTAGCTCTGAAATGGACCATCTGACCTTGTCACCTTCTGGGTCTCTGGAATTTAGTAATAAAACACTAATTTTAAAGTGGAAATGTTTCTTCTCAGAACAGGTTTATGGAGGAGTAGTGTTTTATGTACGTTAATAGATGAGTATCACATATACATACATACACCTAAGAAGTTGGGTAACAGATTATTTAAACAGTTAAACTACTAACTGAGATAATTTGAAAAATTTTGCTAATAGAAATAAATCTGATCATAACGCGGGTTTTGGATCTAAAAATGAATTTTTGGTTATGCTTCTGTCTGTAAAAGCTTGGGAATGTCTAATAACATTATCCACTAAGTTATCATAACTGCTATCTGCTATGCTATGTCTGAAGTCAGCTGTTACAGAACTTTATTTGGTATGCTTACCCACTTTTCCTTTTCACATGCATAGTATCTCTGTAGAATGGGGCTTTTCCTTGCTATCTAGACTTCAGCATAGCAAAGAGGGTGTTTTATCTGCACCTTGGGAACATGAGACCTGATTGGTTTCTAATGGTTTTATGAAGAGGTATTGTCCAAATCTGTTGGTTGACCAGTAAATTGAAATTGGTTGATTTTTTTTTTTATTATGATTTTTTTTTTCCTTTTTGTCTGACACATTCATCCTATCAAAGACTGGGAATACTGAGAAGGAAAGGAGAATGGGTTTGCAAGGAGCGGCAGTCACGAATCTTTCACAGTTGTGCTTTGAAGAACCATGAGGTTGCTTCAAAGTCTAATCAAAGAGCTCCCTGCTTTTTTGTCAGCAAAAATTAAAACTCTGAGTAGTTCAGAGTCCAGACTAGACTGAGCAGCTCTCTGAGTGCAAAATCTTTCCTCTACCAAGTCAGAGTTTCAATTGACTTGAAAGAAATTGTTTAGTATTTAGCTTTATCTCAGTAGAATTGTATCCGGTACTTGTGTAAATGGAGTCTTACCTGAGTTATGATCCATGCATTTGGAATCATGTGGGCATGGGTGAATAAACTACTTCTATTAGTAACAATAAGATACTATATTGCAGTAGAATATTAGAACAGTTTGTTCCTCCTAATCTTTCTGTTCCCCAGCAGAAAATGTCTGGTCTCTTCCTTAGAATTTTCTGTGGCATATGTGCAAGTTTAGTGTGCATGTGATTTGAGCCAGTTGGTGAAAATCAAATACATAAACCTCAGATTTCTTCTTTTGCCCAACTTCTCTCATTTAAGAGCCTGAGGCAAGCTCGTGAAGTTATGGTCTTGAACCTTGATTGTAATGTTCTGGTACACTTAGAGAAGTCTTATAGAGCTTTAGGCTAAGTCTAAAGTCTAGAACAGATTTAGTTTACAAATTTAGTGGCGTGTTAATTCTTTTATAGTGAGGGGGAAAGAAGTATTTAGTATGTAGTTGCCTCTTGTTTGTTGCAGCAGAAGCTTATTTGGTTTTCAGTAATTTTCTATTTGAATTCTTTAGTCCACTCAGTTCATAGTCATACATTCTCAGTATAATCTATGTATAATATTAAAAAAACCCAGTAACTTAATGTGTGGTGCTAAATGAGACTGAATCATTTTGACTGCTCATAGAATTTGTCACTTTGAATATGGCCTCTGTGTGTCCATAAAGTATTTTCCAGTAGTGCAAATGATGATGCTCCAGTGTTAATCTGTATATCTGTGAAATTAATGAAAAGTATTTTTTTGTTGGGTGTGGTGGTATGACATTTATCTGCCAGGTTCATTCTGATTTTAAAGGTCTCTCTGGTGCTTTGAAATAACCAGTGAACAGGCCTTTTTGTGGGGAAGAGAACATTTGGTTGAACTCTTCTCGGAACAGCTTGGTATTAGACAGTACTGCAGAGTAGTTTGAGAGATAATTAATAGTAAACTCTTGAAGTCCTGGAGGTATGAATACCTTTCTTACATGTTTATACATGAAATTCTGGACAAGAGTAGACCACATATAAAAGCTGACTTCTGAATCTTCTCTGTTAGTGAAACAAAACTTGGGTCTTCTGAGTTTACCTAGGGAGAGGAAACAAGGCAAATGGCAACTCAGCAAAACTGCTGTTCTCTCTTGTGTTCCTTGTCCTATTACATATTAAAAACTCTGGATAATAAATGCTTCCTGAATCTTGAAATGTAGGCTTGAGCATAAGGGGAGAAAAGGAAGGGGCTATGATGTTTGGAAGCTGGTCTTCAGTTTCGTGTAATGGTTGCAAATCCTTACTCTGTGACAAAGCACTGTGCAGCTCATAGCAGGCTAAGTAAGTAAACAAAACCTTGAGCAAGTAATAAAGAGCTTTATTACTTGTGATATGCTGTTCTAAAGAACTTAAACCTTATTTATAAGTTGTATAAAAGACAGAATACTTACCTACATTGCGCAACAAGAGGAGAAGTTGGTTTCTTCTTATGAACTAACATCTGGAGCATTCTTTGACAGGCTGAATGTAGTGGAATTATTAGCAGGTAGAGTTGCATTAAACATTTTGCTTCATTGCTTCATGACTTCTTTAACCTGCATCCTAAATAAGGAAATTTCAACTATGTGGAAAAACAAATAGGTTTTGCAAATACGTTAAACATCATTATGGTGGCAGATCTGTTCAATGCAGATGTTCCTAAACTTTGAAGAAAATAAGCACTTGTTTTAGTTCCTAAGTAAACTCTGGGACAGTAAAGGTTTCAGCTCGCACTGGTTTATTTGAATAATAATGGAAAATGGAAGGGTATTAAGTTTGTGAGATTACCTGACTGTCAGATAGATGCTCCTGACCTTCCTGTTATAAGGGATATGTGGGAGCTGCTCTGAATATATTTGAAGCCTGAGCAAAGTTTGACTTTTTACAGAAATGATGGCTTGTGCTGCAGGCCTGTCAAGTGAGAGAGGAGGAAAGGACTGCAACACAAGAATGCAGAAAAGGATGAAAGTGACCTGCTGGCTCTTGATGCAGTCTAATGTGGCACATACTCAGATTAATGAAGCATCTGGTTGATAATATCTTCTCCAAGCAAACCCAGTTTACCCAGAATTGAAACTTAAAGTCCTACACTGAATCAGTTTTAATATTGACAGCTAGCCAAATTATTTTTATTGGTTCAAGTTCAAGAAGGGCATCCATGTTCAGATGCTGTTGCTTTACTAGCACTGGCTCTGGTTAGGTTTGGCTTTACTTTTTGGGCTGGATGGCTTCCAGATGGAGCACCCGAGAACATGGTTTGTTCAAGTAATAAGGTATTATTAATAATCTACTGTTCCAAACTCTGCTTAGCTGTTTCAAAACTCCCAGATTCAGAAATATGTAAAGAGTCTGTTTTGTTCAGGGTGTATTTTGAAGATTATCTAGAAAATGAAGCCATGGTAAGGCTTTGATTTTGCACTTGATGCATCTAAATTTTGTAGCTTTAGCTCATTGCTGCTTGTGTCTGATACATTTGAAACAGAAGTAAGTACCTTGCTATTCTTTAAGCCCTGTGACAGTTAACTTGTCTGTCATATTAATGTGCAGTGACTGTAGCTTGGTGATCTGAGTCTTTCTTGAGTTTGGTATCTTTGGTTTCCCTCAAGATAAAGAAAATCAGACTTGGCTATAGTAGTACTTTGACTTGGTACAGTATTGTGACAAATTGTGTAAATTGGATTTTGTGTTAAAACTGATGGCTGAGACAGCTTCAGACAAATGCTTCTTTAGACTATTGCAGGAATGCTTGAGGTTTTTTTTCCTCTACCTGTGTAGCCTTCTTAGAATTTGTTCTTGTCTGGTAGTACCTTTCAGTGCAAGTTCCAAGAGTTTGATCCTGACTTAGCCACTAACTTAGAAAAATGTATGCATAAGTAAATCTGTTTAATAGTATTTAGCCTGTATGTCCCCTTTATGGGTATATAGAGCAGAAGAGCTTAACATATTATAAGGGTAAACTGGAAGCTAACAAAAAAGAATTTCATATCCATTTCCTAACAAAAACCTGTATATATCTTCTTAACATCATTTTTGCAGCTCAGTATGGGTTTTCCTGTGACTTCTGGAGAAACTTAACACACTTTTGTATTCTAGATATAAGCGAGTCTTTTCAGTTGGAACCCATGCCATCACCACGTACAACCCCAACACGCTGGAAGTTACAAATCAGGTAACTGTCCTTTTTGAAGCTGATTTTGACTTGTGTTCATTATCCAGAGTGAATAGTGTCATTCAGGCTTAAGAAACCATCTAGTCTGACGAGATTTCAGAAGAGCCAGAAGGTGTGGCAGCTGTGTACAAAAGCACACATAACAGAAGGTCTGTCTTGCCTTTGTTTACTCTACAAATACCCAGTAGGGTTTTGTACTTTTAAGCAATTTCTTTTTATTGGCCAACAGGTAGTAGTTTGCCTTTGGCTGTACTGTTCTGAAGGAACTGGGATAAGTTTGATCACTGCTAAGCTATGTCTCTGAAGGGAGTTGGGACAGTTAGTTACTTTGCACAGTATCAAATAGGAAGCTAAAGCTCATGCTGTCACATAGCATCCTTGCTGTCATCTTGTTACAGGGTTATTATAGGTTTTAAGGGCAGGAGATGTAGCTTTAAAATTACTAACGGTATAACCTAATTACTTTCATTTGTCTAGTGGCCTTATGGAGATATCTGTAGTATTTCTCCTGTTGGAAAAGGACAAGGAACAGAATTTAATCTCACTTTTCGCAAAGGGAGTGGAAAAAAATCCGAGACACTTAAATTTTCCACAGAGCACAGAACAGAACTCCTTACAGAGGCACTGGTAAGATTTTTCTTTTCTTCAAGCAAGCAGTAAGTACTTGGTTACCATTACCATGTAGTTGTGGTAGTTTATTATGCTTTCTTTCACTGCCTAAAAAGTAGGAAAGCAAGTTTTTTGAGCTGTTATGTTAATGATCTTTATCTGGTGTCAGTTGGAGCAGGTACTGTATGATTTGTAAAGAGTGAGTAAAGCTACAAATATTGAATATATTAAACTGCAGTGGAATGGTGAGCCTTCTGAGGAGGCTTAAAATGAGTCCCATAAAACGAGTCAGCTTAAATGTAGACATTCTGGATAGATAGGTTGTCATATTTGCATTCATTCACTGTTAACTTTTTTAAAAACAGAGATTCAGGACAGACTTCTCAGAAGGAAAAATCACAGGACGGGTGAGTGTCTGGCTTATCTGCATCATGTGTGGTTTAAGGAAATGATCTAAAGACTCAAACTTCTACTTTGCTCATGTATTTTATGCTTGTGCTATGTGCTGCATAAAATAGCTTTTGTGAATTTGGATCCAAAGTCTTTGAGGAGAGAAAGTGGAGTTTGTTCAAGAGCATTGGGAGCCTCTTCACCAGTAGAATATTTGAACTCTTTGATTGGCCTGAGCCTCATACTTGTACATGGAATGTTACTGTTGAAATACAGGTCTGTGCTATGTGAAGTTCTTACCTGGAGAGGAGAAAAACATTGATTAATTAGTCAATGTTTGCTTTACTTTCTAATTAAATATTTTCTGCTTAACATCCTAAATATTTGATGCTTCCTGGAAGGATTTCTGTAAGTCAAGATTGGCATTTACTGCATTGTGGTAATACAGCAATAAGCAGTGCAGTCTACAGAGCTGGACTTTGTATTTGTCTTCTAGTCATAGAAGATAGTACTTCGAGTGCTTAAAGTTACTTTACATAATTTAAAGTACTGCATAGAATAAATCTTCAGGCATGAGCATAGTAATGCTGCTGGAATATGGGGATTCCCTTTGTCTTATTGTAGTTTAGAACAGACCTCTAACTTTTGGTGGTTTAAGTAAGTTTGTATTTGTAATGGAATATGACTGCAGGAGATGAAAAATGTTCACTACAGTGACAAACTTAGCTTAACTTGATTTAATTAGCTGAATAACAGTATTTGATGTAAATGCTATTTCCTCATCTAACCACAGTGTTCAGAAGTCAGTGGGTAGACCACCTTCTGCAACAAGAGAACTTACTTCCTTTGGGAGTGACTCTTCTGGGATTCTGTTCTTGCTTCAACATGCATTGTTTAAGCTGTGACCTCCTTGTCAATTGACATCTACATCTACTTTCCTTTCCTTCATAGTTTTCTTAATATAGATAAGAGCATTAAGGAAAATTATATAATTTTTTGAACTTACTAGCTAAGTAGAGAAGTACTGCTGTGTAGTAATGGAACATATGTAGATGTCTAAAATTAGCTCTCTCTGCAGAGGTATAACTGCTATAAGCATCACTGGAGTGATACGAGGAAACCTGTGATTCTGGAAGTGACTCCTGGAGGTATTGACCAAATTGATCCTGCAACAAATAAGGTCCTGTGCTCCTATGACTACAGAAATATTGAAGGCTTTGTTGATATTACTGGCTATCAGGGAGGCTTCTGTATCCTCTATGGAGGATTTAGTAGATTGGTAAGTATTAAATCAAAATATCTTGGTATCGTTCTTAGGATGTTTATAACTGCATATTTGATAATGAGACTTCAGAATAGGTGGAACATATAAGTATGTGCATCTTTGGGACCCAGCTGTGGAGCCTCAAGGCTTATGGACAGGTCCTAAAAGGAAAGGAAAATAGTTAAAACATTTGAGAGTTGTATGAGTTTGGTTACGGTTTTTGGTGTGAGGGATTTTTTTTTGTGTGTATTACATGTTTAAGAACTAGAAAGGATGAAATATTTAGGTTTTTTCAGATAGTAAATATGTAAAATGTAATGTGGATGTGGAATTTCCTGTCATTTCTCAAATTTACAGAAGTGACAGGCAGTGTGTTACTAATCTACCTAACTGATGGAAGGATTCAATTCAGAAATAGACTGACCAGTGATGCCATTGCCTCTTTAGACCTGTGATCTGATTAATTGGCAACTTTGCTTGGGAAATACTGCAGTATAATGTTGGTTCTAAAATGATGACAGGGTTTCTGTGTACTGTACTTCAAGCAGCTGAAAAGGATCTTTGCAGTATTAACCATAAATTAATTCTCATATATAACTACCTCAGTCTCTACTAAGAAAATAGGACTAGATGAGGGTTTCCATGTCTTTTGTTCTGCCGCATGCTTTTCTCTGGCATAAGACTAGCAATATGTAGCGGATCCTCTAGAGCTGCCCTAACCTTGAAGATCACCTGTGGTAGAAATTGCTTTCTCAGGGTCCTCACTCCTGCCAGGCTGTCAGGGTCTGTTGCCAAGGGTAGACAGGCAAGTCATGCAGACCACAACTTTAATGGCACACTAATGTATAGCAGGGTATCCTTTAGGAATAGCTGCTGTAGATATTTTTTTAAAGGCAAATGTAAAGTTAATAGTGGATCTCTTGTGTAATAAATACATGTCTATACTATGCACTTAGCAAAGGCCAGTCCAGCTACTGTGCACATTCCCTACTGTTAGGTATACAGAGGAGGATTGTTTATAGAACTGTGATTTTCTTCAGTTGTGATGTATTTTTTTTTCTTTACAAAATTTGCAGCACTTGTTTGCCTCTGAGCAGAGGGAGGAAATTATCAAGAGTGCAATAGAGCATGCTGGCAACTTCATAGGCATCTCTCTGCGGATAAGGAAAGAATCCCTAGAATTCGAGCAGTACTTGAATCTTCGCTTTGGAAAGTACAGCAATGATGAATCTATAACATCTTTAGCAGAGTTTGTTGTTCAAAAAATAACACCTAGGCACTTGGTAAGGCTGTCAGACTGAACATACTTGGTTCCTACTAAGTACTAAGTGTTCTCTTTCCTAGCATGCCTCTCTCTTGTTTTACAAGGAGCCTGTGAAAAGAGTACTAGCTCTTACAGAAGCTTGCTTAGTTGAGAGGGATCCAGCTACCTACAACATTGCAACCTTGAAACCTTTAGGCGAGGTAAGGGGCATTCTTTCTCAGTACTACTTCTTCAAATAAAGGCTCTAAAAGGGAGGAATTGACAGTATATGTAAGCCTTAATTTGTGGAGTAGCTAAATAACACTGCTTCATGAATGTTATACTTGTCCCTTATTTTTAGGTATTTGCAATAGTGTGTGACTGTGAAAACCCCCAGCTTTTCACCATTGAATTCATCAAAGGACAAATTCGGAAATACTCTTCAACAGAAAGGTAACTGGAGCTTCTGTGCATTATAGATTCTAATGGGAGTTGCTACTTATCGTAGTGCTTATTGTTCCTCAGCTTTTATAAACTTTGACCCTTGCAGGGGTTAACTCCAAGCCTTGCTGTTCTAGCAGTTTGCCACTTATAAATCAAGAAACTAAATCTCTCCCATTTACCTTCATCTTAACTTTGAGAAAATCTCTCCAGAGGTGTTCTGATGAACATAAAAAGGTGTTGGACTATTAGATGTTTCTCCTAAGCAATATAGTTCTGTGTATGCAGTACTTGGTTAAGTAGTATATCTGAAACAAGGGAAGAAAGCACAGTCTAGGTAGTATGGAATTGTGGAGGCTGTGAACCCTTTGAGCTCTTTGCTTGGAACAGTCTTAGTTGATTCTATTTAAAACAACCAGTAGAACAGTGCACTTGCAGTTGTAATACAGTCTAATCCTGCCAAGTGAGGTTTTGCAGAAAGCACAGGGATCAATTGGCTGACAGTATGTGTCACTCATTAACAGGTAATCTAGAATTGATCCCATTAGTGAAAGGCTGCAGCTGGCTATACTGAGTTCAAGTCAGCTCTCTCCTAACAGTCAGTGAAGGAACACTGAAAGTTAATGGTTTCTTCCAGAGGTGTAGCTGTTTGCAGTAGTGTTAGAGACTCCAAGTATTGCTGCCTTTCATGATGTGATTTTTTTCCCCCTTGGTTCTTTGTCACCACTTCTGATTTAAATTCTATTTGTGTGTCATTGTCCCAACACAGAGATTCTCTCCTGGCTAGCTTGCTGGATGGAGTGAGAGCCTCTGGTAATAGAGATGTCTGTGTGAAAATGACCTCCACACACAAAGGCCAGCGTTGGGGGTTACTCAGTATGCCTGTAGATGAAGAAGTAGAGAGCCTTCATCTGAAGTTTTTGGCTGCTCCTCCAAGTAAGCTAATGCTTCTTAGCTGGGTTTGTAGTGCTCTTTAAGGCATCCAGATATTGAGTCAGGTACTGTACACTTAACTTTTGGTATGTCTTTTTTCAGATGGTAACTTTGCAGATGCTGTGTTCAGGTTCAATGCTAACATTTCCTACAGTGGAGTCCTACATGCAGTCACACAAGATGTAAGAATAGAGCCTTTACCCATCCTTTTAAGATGTTGCTAATGCATAAAGGAATTAATGCTTGTTATTTTTTAACCAGGGTCTCTTCTCAGAAAACAAGGAGAAGCTCATTAATAATGCCATAACAGCATTGCTCTCCCAGGAGGGAGATATTGCAGCATCTAATGCAGAGCTTGAAAGCCAATTCCAAGCAGTAAGACGACTAGTGGCTTCAAAAGCAGGCTTCCTTGCCTTTACTCAGCTTCCAAAGTAAGTGCAAAGTCTCTTAAAGCTTGGAGGTAGTAGATGAAAATAGGTCTTGAGCTTTTGTTAGTAACTTATGTCTAAAAGTAAGAAATGGAATTAGGACTCCCTTCTGAAAAGGACTGTAACACTGTACAAGATTGTTTTCAGTAGTATGAGGCTGTCACCCGGCTTTTGTGCAAATTGACAATCTCAGGTAATAATTTGCAAGTAAAGCTAATTCTTCATGTGCTAAATACTCTGTCTTGAGGCAACTACAGTTTAATGATTTTCCTAGTGGAAAAATTTTTAACATGTACCTTCATCCGTCCTTGAAGTAGGCAGTTGTTTATTCTCAAAGTATGCTAATGTCATTGCTGTCTTCAGTTCAACACAAGATAAAATGATGTTAGGAGGTTGCACTTCTGTAGTAAGTACAGACTGCTTGGAGTTTGTCTTAAATAACATAAGGAAGCAGAAAAACTGTCTGTTGTTCTGAAAACAAAATATTATTAGAAATATTTATGACTAGGAAATATAGAGCAACTATAATATAGAGAATGATGAGAGGAGTAACAGAAGCACTTAGTCTGAGACCTTTATAAACTTCTGTTTCTCTGTAAATAGTCTCCTGTAACTACACAGATACATCTTTATTTTGGTGAGTGTGCTTGGCATGTTGCTAACAGTGAAGTCAATATTTTCCTACCAAGAATCTCAAATTTATGAAAATATCAAGGTACTGGCTTGCTAAATGCAATGGGAGCAGACCCCTCTTGGCTGCTGACTAGATTTAATCTTAATTTTAAGATTTTAGTTTCTTCTCTGATCTTAGTGGTTTTGCTTTCGTTTCAAAAGATTTCGAGAACGATTAGGAGTGAAGGTTGTGAAAGCCCTCAAAAGGAACAATGATGGAGTAACCCATGCCTCTATTGACATGCTTTGTGCTCTTATGTGTGTAAGTATTAAATTTCAGGTTCTTTTACTTTGGAATACGTGAACTTCAGGCTACTGAAAGATGTGGAAATAGGGATTGCCATTCAACCTGCAGTGTGTTCAGACATGGAATACCTTGTTATACAGTGATTTCTTGCTGAACTTGAAGGGGGATGTGGGTAGAGAGAATAGCTTTTGGATTACAGAGTGGATTTTGGAGCTGTTAAGAGCTTAGGGTTGAAATATGGCTACATAGTGAATATTTGTTTTTTTATAGCCCATGCATGATGACTATGACTTGAGGCAGGAGCAGCTGAACAAAGCTTCCCTTCTTTCTTCAAAGAAATTTCTAGAAAATCTACTAGAGAAATTTAATTCCCATGTGGTAAGTCAAATTTTGGAAATAGATTTAAGCTTCTTTAAGTGCCTTTCCTAATTGTAATGAAAATGCTTTTGTCATACTTAGATGTCTCTTTGAAGGTATTTGCACCTGCAGTTGAAAATACAGCTGTCTGGCACTGAAGTTTGTTCTAATTAAGCTTGGATCTTGACAGGTTAGGACATAGTTGTCAATACTTCAGAATTTGAATATCTTGCAACAAATGTTTGTATGTTTAATATGGAAACTGGATAAGTAAATGAATAGCATAAACTTGGATTTGTGGGATTAAACTAGATAAAAGTAGTATGAATCTCCAATACGCTATAGAAACCAATTTTTTTACCAGGGTTGTGCCATACACCAAATAATGGAGTATTCTAAACTCGTAGTTTTTGATTACAGACTATTTTAATGCCATGACAAAGAAGAGCAGCTTCAGCATCATGAATACTCTTGGACCACTGTATCTGAATTACATACCTGTCTTCCTAATTTCAGGATCATGGGACAGGTGCCCTAGTAATTAGTTCACTTCTGGACTTCCTGACATTTGCCCTATGTGCTCCATATAGTGAGACTACTGAGGGGCAGCAGTTTGACATGTTGTTGGAAATGGTGGCATCTAATGGAAGAACATTATTTAAGCTCTTTCAGGTAAGACTTACTTTTCACTATTATTAGAGGCTTCAGGTAATCAATGAACATGAATTTTTTCTTGTGTTCCTAAAAGACAGATTTGTCTTCAGCTGGTTAATGTGCCTGAATCTTTTCTATCTTGGTGAATGTTTTAGCAGCCTTTTATTTTGCCTTCAGATATCAGATTGAGGTGATTATTCTGTGGTGAATGATACGCCAAATCATTGTAGAATAGACTGCTAAGACCTGTTTAACACAGGTTGGACTTCCAGATAGATTCAACAGATGCAGAGATCTTCCCCTGACTGGAAAGTCTTCTGCCTTTTTGTTTCTTTCTCAGTAAATGAGAGTTAAGAGATAGAACACCAGAGTAACATCCTCTTCAGTAATAAACCTGTAAGGATTGTAGCATTTTTAGCTAAAATATCCATGCCTTCTTACTGTAGAAGTAGTATTTTCTTGTGCTTTTTGATGAGTGTCAGCTTGTGTCAGCCAGTTTCCTCATCATTATTCCAGTTTCTCTGATAAAGACTGCTGTTCAGTGCCAGGAATTCTGTCTGGGAGTTGCATGAGAGATGCTTGTTCAAAGATAGGGTAGGAACCCTTAAGGCTAGTTTTCACAAAACTGAATTGGAGGTAGAGCAGCCATGTACATTAGTTAAGGAAACTGAATCACAGATGATCTAATCTTCAGTTTTTGCACTTGGATGATTTTTTTTTTTTTTTTTTTTTTTTTTTTTTTTTTTTTTTTTGGTTTGTTTTTATTCTGTTCTAGCACCCTTCCATGGCAATTGTGAAAGGAGCAGGTTTGGTGATGAAGGCAATAATAGAGGTGAGATTTTATCAATGTTGACTGGGATAGCATGCAAAATATGTATTGTCTATTTTGGAAGTGAAGTTGCTGACCAGGAGAAGTTTGTTATATTAGCTTCTCAAAGTGGGAAGTGGGGAGGGGGAATTTGAAAGGTGAGGAACAGAACACCTGCTTAATTGTGAGTGGTTTAATATAGCAACTTGCTTTATCTTACACTTGGGGGTTTGGAAAGCATGTGATTTGGGACATTAGGTAATGGCTTGCATGTCTTCATATTGCAGTCAAGATTTGGCTGTAAATGTTGTATGTAGCTCAGCCACATACCTCAGAGCCACCAGACTTCTCCTGCATGTTAGAGGTATCTCAAGGAGGAGAGGCTGTATTTCCTAGGGTGCATTGCCAGATGGAGTGGGACCGGGATTAGCAAGTAGTAATGTCCCAGAGCTACTGATGTCAGCCTCTGTTCTTGCTTTGGCTTTAAGTTTCCATACCATGTAATGTATGGGCCAAGTCCATACTTCTCAAGGGTTGCTCATGGTTGTTGCAGGATGTCCTTGCTAACTTACTCTTTACACTTCCTGGGTTGAAATTCAGGGTTTAAGTTAGTGCTTCTTTGAATCACAATGGCTTACGCATCTGAAACCCATCTACTACTTTCTTGGAATGGAAGTGAATGAACACTTGAAATAGAGATGTTCCAAATCTTCAAGTTTCTATCAATGTGTACCTGATAATGTTAGCTAAAAGTTACTATGGTGTTTATTAAAAGTCCTGTCATCTAGAAGGGTAAAAGTGCTGCAAAAGCTTTTTCTTGTTCATTGCAACTAATGTATCTTGACTGAGTGGCAGTCTTACCCATGTGGCTGTCTAAACTGAGCAGCAGCCATCAATCTTAAATGGTTACTGTTGGCAAAAGTCAAGCAACAAGCCCTTGGCTGCCATTTTTCATTTAATTCCAATTTCTAATTGCAGTGTGAAAATGGTACTTCTACTGCAACCTCCTGATGTATGATGTGAGACAGGCATCCTGCCCTCTTCAGTTACTGTCCTCATAGATGTAACTACCAGTTATTTGGTCCATGGCTTTACTACAGCATTGAGCAGTTGCTGTGGAGAACTTTTATTTAAAACCTATCATACTCTAGCTTCTGGTTTTTTAATATTAGTTGGCATAATTGATGGTCAAGAAGGCCTTGGAACTGTAGACTTAGATAAAAGCAGCTTAACTAAGATGCTTTGTTTAGTAACCATATTGCCCTGTTTCCAAAGGAAGGAGACAAAGAGATTGCTACCAAAATGCAAGATCTTGCCCTCAGTGAAGGTGCCTTACCTCGTCACTTGCACACTGCTATGTTTACAATAAGCACAGATCAAAGGATGCTTACAAATAGGTATGTCCATCTCACTTGATATATCATGTTTAAAAAAATCTAAGTAATGGCCTAGGGAACACTGGGAGGTCAGGGAAGAAAAGTTGCAGTTCTTCAGGAGAATATTTTCTTTAGCAGCTGGTATATTTTAGTAGACCAAGCTTCAGCCAAGGCTGCAGCCACTTAATAAATCCTTGATTATTCATTTGTTAAGGTGGGCTTGGGTTGGTTGCTCATTAATGGCTCGAGTTTTGGTTTTTATTTCTTTTAATTCAGGGGAAGAAAAGGCAAGTAGAATGTTTGGAACTTGTAAAAAGTTTCAACTTGTACTGTACAACTGTATAAAAAATGTGTGCACATCTCAGACATCTTGCATGCAGTTAGGGTCACCCATCCTATCTGACAGAGAAGTTTCCTCACAGAAATTATTTCCTGAATCAACAGTCAACTTGTGATCTCTGAGAGAATGCTGTAGTGGATGAGCAATGATTCAATTTTTTTCCATTCAAATACAAGCTTTCAGAAGCTTTTGCTGTGAATTCCTGAAATGCTTAGAGTTGTTAAGGAATGTAGGGACAAGTGGAGCTTGTTGCCACTGTGTATCATTCAGGAGAGAGCTGGTATGAAACCAGCTGTCATGCTAGTTCTGTTTGGTGCTACTGCTTACAATGTGCTTGTAGCAGTGCTTCAGTTCAGTGCAGTAGAATCCTAGTGACAAATGTTGGCAGAAAGCATCAGTTGGCATAGAAGGCAGGCTTCCAGAAAGGCTTTTCTAGCCAATAAGAATGATACTAAGAATTTCAGGTAGAGCATGTAGCAGTTCTTTGTGGCCTCTGGTCTCTTAACTTTAGCTGTAAATTAAGGTTGGCTGGATAAACTTACACTTGGTTATTAGATGTTTCTGCTCTATTGCTCAAGTGTTCTTTGAGGTCTAGATCAAAAAGCATGTGCTGCTACTGTTCCACTAACTTCACTGGAACTTCTTAGAGGCAACACTTTAAAGCATGCTAAGCATATCCTTGAAGAATGTAATGCTTTGTGCTCTTACTCACTCAAGAGCACGAAGCTCTTGCTCATCTTCATTTCATCAGCTTGGTAAGGGTGACAGTTTAGCGGTTTAAAAATCTGTTTAAAGTAGTAACTAGCAGTTTATTAATTTCAATGGCTTTTTCAGGCAGTTAAGTAGACATTTGGTTGGCCTCTGGACAGCTGAGAACAAAACTGCTATGAATTTGTTGAAACGTATTTTGGTAAGTAAAATCAGAGTATGGAGTAGCAAAAGAATAAAATATGAAAGCTTGCAGTATCAAAGTTGGGACAGTCTATATAGTAAACGTATTCCCTTTTCCCTTCAAGGGAGAAGGTCTTGCTTGGAAGATCAGCAGTCTGGCATCTCATACTCTAAAAATTTTCTGTTACCCCCCTGACACTTTTTAAAATACTTTATGTCACAAAACTCTGAAATAAGGTGTCTTGACTTCTTTTTCTTGATTAAAAGGACAAAAATGTGGGAGACATTGTAAGCATGTCTCTAATATTTTGTGCCAATAAGAAATTAAGATATTAAAGAGTTCTGTCTATGCGTTCATGTCTTGCCTGTCCAACTTTGTTTGCTTGTAACTTGGTTAAATTTATATGTTGTTAGTTCATATGCTGATCATTAATATGTTCTTCCACCCTTACAGCCTCCTGAATGCTTCTTGCTTAAGTTACTTCAGTGAAGTCAGTTTAATGAATAGTGTTGTAAGAAATTATTCTATCTGGGAAGTTAACAGCTTTGAATTTCAAAATAGCAGTTCCTTCCTTTTTGGCAGAGCAAACTGTCCTGATCTTGGTCACTATTCTTATGGAAAGCTTAGTCAAAAAAGACTATCTCATCTCTAATGTCACATGTAACATTTAGTCCATATCAGAGGATATGGATGGATTCTACTGGATTCTATTCATCCCTCTCAGTATAGCCCTATTTTCTTCCTGAATTCTTTAGGTTCATTAAGTGCTGCTTGAAGAAATGGGATATAGCCCAGAGTTCTGCTTCACTGAAGCCAGTAATATGTCTCTGTTGAGCAATTCTGTTGAGGACGGAGGCATTTTACTAATCACAGCAAAAAAAATGTTGTAGCTTTACATACTTACTTCAGAGTAGAATATAAATACTTGATAAAACTATAAAATACAAATTTTGAAATCTCTGATTTAAAGAAATTGTTATTACCTAATGTGATGGTTTCTGTTCATTAACCACGTGTGTTTACATTGGTTTTAAATGTTTTTAGCCACCAGGTTTGCTGGCATACCTTGACAGTACTGATCCTGTTCCTGAAAAAGATGCTGATAGAATGCATGTTAGAGATAACTTAAAAATTGCAACTGTAAGTAATTGTAGTTGTCTTACCTCTTCCATTATATAGATGTACAGTCTTAGTGACTTTTCTAATACAGACACTTGACTGCTGCATTGACCTGCAGCAAAGATAACCCACAACTGTAAATAATTAGTTTTATTCTGCAGGATCAGTATGGCAAGTTTAATAAAGTGCCAGAGTGGCAGAGACTGGCTGGAAAAGCTGCAAAGGAAGTTGAAAAATTTGCCAAAGAGAAGGTGGATCTAGTCTTGATGCACTGGAGAGATCGAATGGGCATAGCTCAAAAAGAGGTAAAAGTATTTGAAACTCTGTTAGAGCAACTTGACTAAGTCACAGTAACCAGTTGAGTGTCAGAATACACACTCAAATAAATAGTAAAGAAGTGTTGTGATGTGAGAGTTCTCCTTCCTTTTAGCAAACTCTCTACTTCTTACTATTCTTGGGTTAGAAATGGGTTCCAGGGAGAATGTTGAGCAGACAAATTAATTCCTTCAGCATATGTATTAAGCTTTAGCCGACCTTATCAAACTGCAGTGCAGCCTGTGTGCATTTCTTGTAAGATACAGGAGAAAATTCCTGGAAATATGTTGAAACCAGTTTTTGAAGTATATTTAAAAGAAATGGAATATTCTTTGCATTCAAAATGATGTACTTTCCACCAGTAATATTTTAGTTATGGAACCTGCTTGAGGAATCATAGAATAGCCTGGGTTGGAAGGGACCATAAACATCATCTAGTTCTATTCCCCCGTCCAAGGACACCACCTTAGGATTCACTTGAATATGGGTGTCTCAGTGCTTAAAGGGCAACACAAGGCTGTACCTAAGGTCAGTATTGAGACTGAAGTAATAACTGTTTTGATCTGTTGTTATTAGAGGAGAGCTTAAGCGCTGGTTGAGTTTTTACAGTTGGTCTCCTTTTTCTTTTAGTTTTATTGCCATGTTCTAAATGACAAACTTTCAATTATGAGGTGTTTCCCTTAACTTTCTGTAGTATAAGCTTATTTTTATACATTCTGGAAGTGAAACAGTCTGTTGTACATGCAAAGAAGGATGAAAATGCAGAGTATTGAAAATGCCTGTCTTTGTTTTGATGTAGTAATAAGCTTTAATTTAGGAAAATCTAGCTCAAGTGTGTAGGACATGGTGCAGAAGTTTGATAGTAATATTTCTGAAGTAATGGTGAATTAAGTTCAAAAGAGGAAAATTGAAGAAATGTGAAAAATAATGGAAGGTCAAATTTTAAACTTTGCTTGAAGGACTTTAAACAACTTGTCTAGGTACTGAGTTTAAAGAGTAATTTTTCTATGAGGAGTTCTGAGCTGTGTCATTTCGCAGTAAACGTGTGCAAGTGTAGCTTGGAGAAGATAGTAGCAAGTTTGGTGTTACAGCTTTAAATTACTTCAGTGACTCTGGAGTGTTAAATGTATTTTTCTTTTTCTTCCAATTTTTCTTCATAATCAGGACAGAAACAATATGGTGAGTCTGTATATCTCTGTCACTTGTGTGGACTCTATTGCTCAGACTTCTGCTTGCATGTGATACCTCTTGTAGATGATAACACTGATTTCATGCTTCATCAAAATAGGGAATCTTTCAGTGACCAAGTCAGGCTTGGTTTTATTTTTGTGACTTCCTCTAGTTCTTTCAAGAGCAAAACATTCTTAATGTGGGCTTTCACCTCCATCAGCTTTGGAGCTGATGAATGCCTATGGTGGTGGAAATTAAGCTTTTTTCAGGGAGAACTTGATTCTAAACAAATGATTTATCAAACAGCTGAAAGTTTCTCTGGCATGATTTAACTTGGTGCAAATAACACTTGTGAAAAAAGTCTGTTGCTGCTACTCACTAGAAAAGGAGACATTATTAATGATGCTTAACTTATTATTGTTTTTGAAGGAGTGTAAAAAAATCCAGCATTTTATTTTAAAAGGGAAAAATGGGAGGTATCTGCCTCTACTAACTTGTGAAATTTGGTTTTTTTGCAGAACATTATTCAGAAACCAGTGATATTAAGGAAACGGCGCCAAAGAATAAAAATAGAAGCAAACTGGGATCTCTTCTATTACAGGTGAAAATGCTAAAGTTAATATTGTGGTCTCAGATACAAGTGACTTCCAATTTCTGCCTGACTTGAAACAGTGCAAGTGTTTTCTAGCAACTACATACTAAAAACCCCCTAAGCTATAAATAAGGATTTCACTTGTGTTCAGGGAAAGGAGGAATTTAGAAAGCTTCTGAAATATTATCCAACTACATAGTTTTTTCCCTTGAACCAAAAGGAAGAGTAAATAACAAACTGCAGGTGCAAATCTGCATGGTATTGAAGGCCAAGTGAAGTACCACTGGAAAGCATTGTAGTTTGATGGTATGTCAACCTGTGAGCTACTTGAGATGTTGTAACTTGAATTGGAACAAACATGACCTTAGAACAGGGCAAGAGAAAGCACATGGATACTGGATTTAGATAAAATAGTGCCACAGGTCCTAAATGAGGTCCTAAAGCTTGCTTGCCTGTGAGTTCTTACAGCTGTCAAAGTTACAAGGGAGGGGCATCCATCTGGGAAAGATATATCGCTTTGGCTAGGGCCATTGTGTTAAGTAGACTAATGAAACTTGGTTTGGCTAACAAACTATGTAAGCAAGCTTGGGGAAATTCCTTAAACTTAGCTGCTTGATGTTTCTAAATGTCAAATAGTTCCATGAAAGGAAGATTTGTGTGCTCCTAAACCTTTGGTTTTAAAGTCCATTTTCAATCTTTGGATCCGAAGGCTGTGTTGGTAACTGCTACTAAAGAACGTCCACTGACTGTTTTGTGACACAGCATCAACTTCTATTTTACTACATGAGCTACTTAATGTTTTTGTTGGTTTAAAACACAGCTGGTATGTGCATGTCTGCTGCTCTGGATTGTTTACCTGTAGCCTTTACTGGCTTACAGTGAATTGCTTGCCTTTCTCCTGCTCATCAACTACATGCAGATGGCAAAGTGAGCCCAAAGGGATGACATGGGCGTGCTTTAGTCTAGGCTGGTGTCCATGGCTATGAAAACAGTATACAAGTGAACAACTGTAATTACTGTAACAAATTCGAGACCACTGCTCTCTGTCTTTTAATTAAGGTCCATTAATGCTAACAATCTCCACTAGCTTGCCAGATGAATTTTATCTGCTTTTCAGATAATGTTTTGCAGGGTTTAAACTATGTAACTTCTTTTTTAGATTTGTTCAGGATCATGCTAGATCAAACTTGATTTGGAACTTCAAAACACGAGAAGAACTGAGAGATACTCTTGAGTCTGAGATGAGAGCATTTAATATTGACAGAGAACTTGGTAGTGCTAACGTTATCTCATGGAACCACCAGGAGTTTGAGGTAATTGACCTACTATAGGGCAAAATGCATCTGTAAAATATGTCTACTTGAAGTGTCACTTCTGTCTCTTATTCACACACAAGAGTGAATCTTGTGTGGATGATCCCTGACTGCAAGCTAGAATTTTTTTTTGGGTTATGGAATCAACTGTTAAGGCTTGAGTCAGTGAACAGGTACTACTGTCCAGTGTCACTGTGCAAAACAGAATCCTCTTTAACCTAACAAATGGTGCTGTGAAGATGAAACATTTATCAGAACCCATGGTGTATTCTTGCATTAGGTCAGGAGTTGGTCCTTACACTGTTGTCCAGATAAGTCATAATTGTTTTTGTGTGTGTTCTGTCCAAATTGTTTTGGGTAGTTTCAGAAGTCACTTTTTTCTGATAACAAGTTTATTGTCTTTATTTCCATCATGTTTCAGTAATCCTGTGTCTGTTAAATGCTGTATTGCCAAATTATGAATAGGTTATGGGGCTAAAATATGCTGCATTGTAAATTATAGATGAAGGTCATTGTCATCCCATTCTAGGAACAGCAGAACCAAAACTAAAAAAAAACTTGGATGCTTCTGCAAAGCAATCTGTATGGTCCTGATTGGCTTTCTCAAAACATCTTGCAAGATGTTTTCAAGTAATGTGCTAATAAACACTTCCTTTACTGTTCTCTTATCTCCAGTATTGTTGTGGTTCCAAACAACAGTGTGGTTTTAATTAATGTGTAATGCTTTAGCAAAGCAAGGCCACCCTTGAATTCAACTGCAAGATACTCCTTAGATGTTCCCATTGCCATCCTTGAGTATGGCTTTCTAGTTACATTTGAACTGAGAACTGTTAGTGAAATGAAAACAAACTTGGTTTGGGGAATTTCTTAGCTGATTACTCTGAAAATCAGGAAGAACTGCAAGACATCAGGCTAATGCTCTATGCAAGAGAACAATTTTACATATGCAGTTTATCCTTATCACACAACTATAGGTTGCTTCTTACACTGATGTCAGTAAATAGGCTGGGTTTAGATAGGTATTTCTTGCACTTCGGCATTTGTCTTTCAAAGTTTCCTTCAGGTATAGGTCAGGCACAGTGTCTGCTATCCCAACCTTTTAGCACTGCAAACTGGGACAGAATCAGAAGTACAGATTTGAAACTTAGTAATAAAGACTTCCCCCACATACTCTGTGCTCCTGTGTGGCTTTAGGCTGCTGGAATGTATCAGTAGCATTCTTGCAGCTATGACCCGGGATACTCTGGGACTGGATTGAACAGCTGCTGTCCCACAGATTTGCTTTTAAATAGTAATGAATATGTTATTGGACTATGCTGTAAGTATTTGAACTAAATAGTGGGGACAAAGACTTTCCTATCAACTATGAAATCTTTGGCAAGGGGGGTGGTGGATTGAGACTCCTCTGAAGGCTATGTTCAAATCTGTAGATAACTTTGTGGCCTCATGAAAAATCTGCAAAGTATGGATAAAAAAAGCACACTGTAGAGTAGCTTTGTTGTATGTTAGAGGTACCTCTAATTAAGTGCTTGCCAAGTGCTTGTTACCACTGAACATTGAGGCATTTATTAAATTTAATGCAGCTGCTCTGAAGTTAATGTTGGTTTTTATTGTGCAATTTTATTTCGGCTTCTTGTTTTGTGAACTGATGCCTCTAGGCTTTTATTATCCAGCACAGCAGCAAGCATAACTAGTAATTAGATTGTGCTTGTGTTTCACACTTGCAGTAACATTAAGTGAAATACCTTGCAATGGTATAACTACTTATTAAAACCTGAGTCACTGAATGCATCATGTGCTACTCAAGTTTAGTTAATAAAACCAGCTGGTATTAGAAACAAGTTCGTTGAAGGCTGGAAATAGAGATTTCAGTAAGATAAGAAGCTTCATTTATTCATGAGGGCAGCAATAGTCAGTGGCTTTTATTTTGTAGATGTACGTTTCTTTAACAGAAAACTTGCGGATTTCAGTTTTCCTACAGCTTAGGAGAGTTTGCTAACCTTGTTGGGTTTTTAGATGCAATTGAGCTCAGTATTGTTATGCAAGCAAAAACTTACTGAAGGAGAAACAATATATATTGTCAATATATATTGTTAACTAAGGTGTTCTGTGTTACAGGTGAAATATGAGTGCCTTTCTGAGGAAATAAAAATAGGGGATTATTATCTAAGATTGTTGCTGGAAGAAGATGAAACTGAAGAGAGTGGAGCAATCAAAAGATCGTGAGATATTATTAAAACCTTATCTCATTCCTAAGGTCTGTTTGTTTTCTTTACTAAAATCTCATTTCTGTTTTAGATATGAATTCTTCAATGAACTCTACCATCGCTTCTTGCTTACCCCAAAAGTGAATATGAAATGCTTATGTCTGCAAGCATTGGCCATTGTTTATGGAAGGTGTCATGAAGAAATAGGACCATTTTCTGATACCAAGTACATTGTTGGAATGTTAGAAAGGGTAAGAATTATTTTAAATTATTGCATATAGTAGTTAACATACTGCTAGTCCCACATATGTTCAGATCCTTCAAGTTACTGTGAAACCCAAGTTTTGTATTTACAGTATGTGAATACTTTTTTCCATGCTGTCCAACAGCTGTTCTTAGTATCTCCCTTTGTTTCAGTTTCATTAAAGTTTAACTAAAAAACCTGCTGATCATAGAGATATTTCAAACTAGTCTCCTTAAGACCAACAGAATGCAGATATAACTTCAGCTTGCTTTTTAAAAATGCAGAAGCTTTATAAGAGGAGAATCTTTTTTCATATCACATTGTTTCAAAGTACTGACTTCAAGTCATAGTCCCAGACCTAGGGAAACGATAGCTCCAGATGAGCACATGTGGTGAATTAGATTTGTAGTAGTAGCTGATTTGTCTATTAAGTGTCTGTTAAGTTATGTCTGACAACTGATTCAGCTTGCAAAAATAAATTTCTGTTAAGTCTGAAGGAAGAGTTCTGCCCCTGCATCAGCATGGGTTTTGGCTGTTGCAAGTGAAACTGAACCAGTGTAGTCCCTTGTTATTTTGCTTTGAGCCTTGATAATCTCACCAGGGATGTAACTGTCTGCTGGCTAAAAGCAATTTCTTTTTCTCTTGTGCTTATTTTAACTGGTTCACTGGGATTGCAAACATAGTCCTGACAGAGCAGAGACTTGGAAGAATAGTGGGTTTGATCCAGGGCAGCAACAGTGTTGCAGGGCCTTTACTCCTTAGTGGCAGAAAACCAGCTTTATTAGCTGTGCATGAAACTGAACACTTAATAAATAGTCAGCAGGTTTTCTGGGCATGAAAAAACAATATGGGGCTTTGCAGCTGCAACTGTGTTGATTTTTGAAGGGAACTTTTAGTATGTGCTATGAAATACTAACTTGTTCTTTTCTGTTGCAACAGTGCACTGACAGGCTTGAGCGGGACAGATTGATCCTGTTCCTCAATAAGCTGATCCTCAATAAGGTAAGGTGGACATGTACAGCAGTTTATCAGTCTTTTGACTGGGTAAAATAGTCTGAACTAGTCTTTCAGGATTAACTTGAACAAAAATTCAAGTATTGAGGAAGTTTTATAATAATGTTTGATACAGCTTTCTGGAATGTGATAGCTGTTATTTACTGGTGAGAAAGCTGAAGGAAATATGTAAACATTGTGGTGATTGTATCATTCTAGTCACTTTAGAGAATGATTTGACTTGCTTTGTGGTCACTTCTTACTTGAATGAAGCTTACTTGAATAAAAATTGATGTAATAAATTATCATTGCTTAATTGCAGCAATGCTTATCTAGAAAATGATTTTAGTAATTCAGTTCATTTATTAACAGAGAAATGTGAAGGACCTTATGGATTCAAATGGTATCAGAATTCTCGTAGATCTTCTTACTCTGGCACATCTTCACACGAGCAGAGCTACAGTCCCTTTGCAGGTATGGGGCCTTTGTTTCTTACTACTCATATGTTGCTCTGCAAAAGGGACAGTTCTTAAAAAAAAATCAATGTACTTTTCACATTTCCTGTAGAAATGTGATATTTGCACTGTGAAGCTGAAGCTATTCTTGTAAACATCCACTTTTAGAGCAACGTGATTGAGGCAGCACCTGATGCGAAGAGGGAGAGCGAGAAAGAATGGTACTTTGGCAATGCTGACAAAGAAAGGAGTGGTCCTTACAGCTTTCAAGAGGTACCTGGCAGCTTCAGACTCACAACTTGACAAATTATTTTTGTCCTGGTGACTGGTGTGACTCAAACAGTGAGAGGGACCATAAACAATGCTAAAGAATGTTCTTCAAGTAACTCTTTAAATAAGGATTAAAGCTAGATAAAAGACTTGATGTAGTGCCAAGAACTACAACCTTTTTGGTAAGACTGCCTACCCCTCCATGCCTGTTAGTTGCAACATCATCTGACACCTTCTACTTTATGATTCTATGTGACAGTGTTATAAACACATTGAAATTTCATTCAACAATAATAATCAGCTGTACAGCAGTTGAAAACTTGCCATGAGTGTGAGTGTTTAGGAGCAAAGGTGGTTCTGCATGCTGAATAAACTAAATTCATCTCTAATCTTGCAATAGATGCAGGAACTATGGAATAATGGAAATCTGACTTCAAAAACTCGTTGCTGGGCTCAGGGTATGGATGGCTGGCGACCCTTACAGGTCATCCCTCAGCTGAAGTGGTGCTTGCTTGCCAGTGGCCAGCCTGTGTTGAATGAGACTGACCTTGCCACACTTGTCCTCAACATGCTCATCACCATGTGTGGATATTTTCCCAGCAGGTAAACAGGGATTTTTCAGCAGAAAGGATTAACTTTATCTGACAGATGCATGAATTTGTAAATTCTGTCTTAAAGCTTTTCTTAGAAAGTAGTACATTAAGGAACTCTATTAAAGAGCCTTTTACATGGTAGTAATTCATTTTGTGGTCAGAGAGTTTGTAAATGAGACAATACTAATATTGTGAAAGGGACAGCAAGAATGAATGCACAAGCTATGTGCATTTCTAATGCTATAGACAGGCTCTTGTTTAACTTTAAACTGCTTTAATGCAGGACACTAAACCACATTTACTAAGTCTAACAACAAACTTTGAAGCTAATGAAGAAAGACAAAGGGTGTGGCTTCAATAGTCTAATACTTAATAAAATTGTTACTTCCTGAAAGAGAAAAGGCACTGATTGTGCTTACTGCTCTACTACTTGATTTCTTTAGGGATCAAGATAATGCTATTATAAGACCTCTGCCTAAAGTGAAAAGGCTGTTGTCAGATAGTACTTGTCTTCCTCATATCACTCAGGTAAGTAACTTCTAAAATGTACCTAAATGCGTGAAAGTTTGACTTTGTCTTCTGCATCCAAATACTTTAGGTGGGGCAAACACATCAAAGAACAATTGTAACATTGTGCAGATCTCTGATCATGCAGTTGTTCCTTTCATAGGGTGTTGTTTCAAATTTCATGCTTTGCAGCCAATTTTGTTAAAAAATGTTTCTGTTCTTGGAGATACTGAAGAGCCACCTAGACCTGGACTTATAAAGACCTGGACATGGTCTTTATCAACTAGGTCTAGAAGATCATGCTTTTAGCAGAGGAGTTTGAGGTCTCTTTCAACTTAAAATAGTCTTTGATTGACACGTGCTGTTTTCAAGCTGAAGTATTCTTTAACTATAATTCCTGTAAGTTTCTGGGTTGTCCCAATAATTAGTTAAAGCTTCAATTTTGGCCAGATAACTTGCACTTCTTGCAGTTAATATAAATGCTTGTGTTTGATTTCAGCTATTACTGACTTTTGATCCTATCCTTGTGGAAAAAGTTGCTGTATTACTCTCTCATGTCATGCAAGACAACCCTCAGTTACCTCGTTTTTATCTGAGTGGAGTATTCTTCTTCATCATGATGTACACTGGTTCCAATGTACTTCCCATTGCAAGGTGAGGAAAATGAACAGCCAAAAGTACCTTGTGACCAGTCATGCTCAGGACTGCTGCTCTACATACATCTCTACATGCTCTGGGGGAGTGTGGGTAGCTAGAACCAACATGAAATTCTTCTTCTAAAAAAATTTCCTCCCCATGATCTTGTCAGTCACTAAAAAGCAAATAGCTTATGATCCTTCCAGAGAGGGAATGAGAGCATGTCCAATGATACAGTTTTAATAGTATAGCTGGGCATGCCTTATTGTAGAATAAACATTAAAGCACTAAAAAGCAGCAACACAGGCTACATATATGCTGATGTAGCTTTTGATAGTAGGCAGCTATTTAAAGGGTTTAAAAAAGCTAATAGCCTCTTTTAATATTGAAGCCTACAACAGTTAAATCAATCTGTACTGCCTGATAATGCACTGCACATGCAGGTGGCTACTGCAGTTCATTTCAGTACTTTCCTTATAAATGCAATAGTTCATAAAAAGCTGTCCTACAATTCCAGTTAAGTCTCTTGTACAGTGAAATGCATTGGGAAATGATTGCATGCTTCCATGATGACTCTGGTGTAATAGACCTGTCAGCTGTTAGTATAAAATCATCCCTGCAGTGATGATCTAGCAGCACAGAGGTTGTCTGTGTCTCTATCAGCATCTTTTTTTGTGTGTGTAGAAAACAAGCTTTCAGGAACAAGACTGAAACTGAAATGATGAGCATAAGGCAACATTTATAACACAGGAGTGCTTAGCTTGGTGGAGTTCCAAGGATTTAATGAACTTAGTGCAGAAATTCATACAGCTGTTGTAGTTACTCTTCTGTCTCAAAGTAAATGTGCAGTACCTGCCAGCTGGACTATGTTGGTCTGCTTACTATTCTAGGGTACCATAGTATCAGACAAAAAGAAAGTAACTGCTGTTTCTCTTCCAGGTTTTTGAAATACACACATACAAAACAAGCTTTCAAGTCTGAAGAAGTGAGTAGATTGCAAAAGTAACTACCTCTGTTTCCAAATAGTTTTGCAGACTACCTGTAGTAGTTTTTTAACTAGAATTTAAAAGAACTATAAGGGAAAAGGGGGAGAGCTTTTTGGTCTCAAATTAATTAGCAAGACAGAATTCAATTATCTTTGAGATGACCATGTGATCTCTTCTGTAGACAAAAAGTCAAGATATAGTTCAAAGAAGTATACTTGGACATATTCTTCCTGAAGCAATGGTGTGTTATTTAGAAAACTATGAACCAGAAAAATTTTCTGAGATATTCCTTGGAGAATTTGACACTCCGGAAGCAATTTGGAGCAATGAAATGAGGTAACTGTTTTCTGTCAGAGGGACAAATAAATCTGATTGGCAGGTTATGTTGAAAAGGTATTTGACATTCTTAAAGAAAGCTGAAAATACCTGGATTCCATGGCTTCCTCTTGTTTACCTTCTGCAAGGGCAATGTCCTGCACTGCACTCTGCTTCAACCAAAAATAATGAGGGCAAGGGAGAGCAGAATTGGCACTGGGAATGGGAATATTTCTTTGAACATCTTGAGTAAGTTATTTCGTGAATGGAGATTTGACTATCTATGTGAAGTGCTTATACTTACTCATTTATATGAACTTTTTTATTACCAGTATCTATCTCTGTGATATACCTCTAATATTCAAATACATATTAGGCTCTCCCAGAAAGTAAAGAGGTGTTGAGAAAGGCAAAATACCATTTTAATTGTTTTCAATAAACTAGTTTTCATGGTGTTTAAATAGCTCTCTGATAGAAAAGGACAGAATCTAATTCTAAACCCCTCCTGAAATGTGGGAAAATTCCAAGCAAAACCTTTGCAGAAGAAATCATTGAACACACTTGTACAATGAGTGAGGATTGAGGACAGCTGGGCAAGTGGTAAACTAAACTTTGTGACTTTCAGGCGTCTAATGATAGAGAAGATTGCTGCTCATCTTGCTGACTTCACCCCTCGTCTTCAAAGCAATACAAGAGCCCTCTACCAATACTGTCCCATCCCAGTTATCAACTATCCCCAACTGGAAAATGAGCTGTTCTGTAACATTTATTACCTCAAGCATCTTTGTGATACACTCAGATTTCCAGACTGGCCAATTAAAGATCCGGTAAGTAGGAAGTATTTTAAGATTCATTTAGTTCCTGATTTTTCAGTCCTAAAAGTTAATGAAAAGTCCTAAAATGTGAACAAAAATCAAATGCTAGGTTTGTTTCAAGTAACTCCTTTATTGTGAATTTTGGTCTACAAGTAAATACTTTAAACCCTACTTTATCTTGAAGCACCATAGTGTTCTTTCCACATAGCAACCCCATAAATGTGTCCTTCTTGTGGTGACTACTTAAATAGCAAAATCAAGCATCCAAGAAACTTCAGAGAGTGTTTCAGTGACTCTTATTTTGGGGATGGGGAGAGGGAATGGAAATCACGACTTTGGGGTTCTATTTGTCCACACTGCAGAAGAAACCAAGCTAACATGTCAGTACATTAACTGAAGAGATCTTTTTGGTACAAGTCTATGGACTAGATTTGTCTAAGCAGCTTTATTTATTCATGCAGCTTTGCAGTTTTTATAGTACCATGATGTGAAGTGTGTCTTATTTAAGTGATTTGCCATCCTCTAATTTGACTCTTACATAGTCATTTTAATCTCAAGGTGCTTTTATCTTCAAAAAAGACAGGATTAATTAATAAAACAGCATTTTATTAAAAATTATGTATACTGGTGTCAGCATAAATTAAACACTAATAAATTGTAATTCTTGAGGTTAAACTGTTGAAAGATACCCTAGAGGCTTGGAAGAAGGAGGTGGAGAAGAAGCCACCTACCATGTCAATAGATGATGCTTATGAAGTTCTTAACCTACCCAGAGGACAAGGCCAGTAAGTTGTCTTCAGGATTTAAAGTTGTATAATTACTTCTATATAAATTCCATGCACTAAACAAACTGAAGTTTCTTGTCTCTGTACTTGAGTTATTGGTACCAGCTCAGTCATGTGTAGCACCTTCTTTCACAGTGGAGGATTGATTTGCTAAAAAGAAGCAAAGCTTGGAAATACAATTCCAGTGTTAGAGAAGACAGTTGTTAAAGTGTTTAGATAAGCTGAAAGTGGAGGAAAGAATGCTTTGAGCTTTGCTCTTTTAAAGGACAAGCTTTAGATTCAACCATAGTGAGCAAAGAATATAGCAGAACTTGAATGTGTTCAAAGCAGCTTTTTTCTGTAATCGTCCTTCTCCCTCCCCCATATTTCCCTTTTTCTCAGTGATTATATCCTTAGAATTTCTTGTGTCCTGTCTTGCCACTGGTTTCTGACTTCAGATCCCTAGAAATGAACCAACAGCAGTTTGTGTTTATCCTTCAAGAACAGTACATTTACTGCAAATGATGAAATACTAACTTTTAACACTTGTAGCTCATTTAGATTCTTCATTTAAAATATTGAGGGACTTTGAGTGCCTTCTGGTTAGTATATTAGGTACAAGATCTATTAAAATACTTTCAGTCTCTAAAACTCCTTCCTATTGTGACTACATGATCACCCCTGATTCAGTGTAAGATGATGAAGCAGGGTTTTAAAAAGGAAGTAGGAGAGCTCTGTAGTTTTCACTCAATTGCAGTTACTGTTAGTAGTGTTGGCAGAACCCCAGGCTGGTTTTGCTGTGGGTTTTTTTGTTGTTGTTTTTTGTTATTAAATGTAATTGATGGAACTTGTTTTGTTGTAGAAATGATGAAAGCAAGATCAGGAAAGCTTATTTCAGGCTGGCTCAAAAATATCACCCAGACAAGAATCCAGAAGGCAGGGTATGTACAGCACAAATTTATGGTGTTAACAAAATGGGGACATACTCAGCTATTATGTATATTAAGAATTTTGAAATGCACACTTAAATTGTCTTTTTTCCTTTTAAAAGCTATGCCCTAGGTGAATGCTAAAATACAGATTAATGCTACAGATGAATAATTGAAATAATCTCATTCAAGGTTTTAGAATTTCTACAGTAAACTGTTATAGTCAGATCAGACTCACATCTCAGAAGCGGTCTTGTTTAGAGAGTTACAAGGACCTAAATAAGCTATTTGTTCCTTTTCAGAGACTAACTGCATCCTCTGCCCATTCTCACAATCCAGCTATACTTACTGCTTTTGTCATAGTATGATTTACTTGAAGTCTTTTGCCTAGGGCAGAGTTCAGGAGACAAAAGAAAACTGATCTATGAACCAGTGTTGTTTGCAGTGTTTCCTGAAGTGCAGTGAGGCACCAAAGCTAGTGCTGTCACTAATAACCTGAAATGCTCTATTTAAATTTATTTAAATGCTCTATTTATTTATCTACTTAAACTGATGCTCCAGTAATTTAGAGGGTTCTAGAGGATTCTTAACAACACTTACAGGCTGTTTATCCTTATTTGCAGGACATGTTTGAAAAAGTTAATAAAGCATACGAGTTTCTATGCACAAAGTCTGCCAAGGTGATAGATGGGCCAGATCCAGAAAACATAATTTTGATCTTGAAAACTCAAAGCATCCTCTTCAACAGGCATAAGGAAGGTAAGCATGCTGTCTCAGTGTTTTATGTTAATTTCTTTAGTGGTCATTTTGGTCAGCTTTAATCTCCTCTCTTCTTGAGTCTCTGCTCTGTTGATCTGGTTTCTGACTTGTCGCAGCATTGTGTAGCTATGGTATAGGGCTTCAAAACAGGACTTTTTCTTCCATGAAATAAATTAATCTGCAGTAAGACTTAATTCAAAACAGCATGAATAGCTCTTTGAAGTGCTCTGCTCCAGCACTAATCAGTTTGAATCTTCCTCCATATGGAATTCCATCTATGCAGAAAAATCCGCTAGTACTCAGTCACCCAGATGCTGATTATACATGGGATTACACTCACTTGCCTATTAACAGTGAGCCATTCTTGCATAAATTCTGACCAGTGTTAAGAGTCCTCAGGTGAGTGTGCTGCAACACAACCTCTCTCACTGCTCAGCTGGGAAAGAGGGATAGCTGGAGCACCCTAACCCTTGGCTCCAGCTACAGTCTCAGGCTTCCACCATGTCCAAGTCTTGCAGAGCCAGCAGTGTTCTGCTGTGTAAGTGTTACATTATAATGGTAAACCAAGAATCTCATGTGCAATCATAGTCCTGTCAGTTACGTGGAGCTAGGGACAGTATTGGTATAGATTTAAACATGCTGGCTCCATATGAAAAATGAAATTATTCTTTAGCACTGCTGAACTCTACAGGAATGAAAAATGCAATTTAAAACTTAAAATTGTTGTGTCAAACTGGACAAGGTCCTTATAGGCTTGTTAGTCAGTCCTGGCCTAAGACACGCAGACCAAGCTATACTTGTGTTTCTCTGGAGAGAGACAATCATCACTGGCAAGTCTCTGAGCTAGGGGGCGTACTGAATTGGAGATAAGCCTTTTTGATCTTAAATGAGTTCTTCCTGTGAAGCTTTGTTGGCTTTTAGCATGAGCATCTATCTGTGTGATAGATTTTGTGGACTGTTCCATCTTGTTCCGGATTCCCCAGGTGTTGGCTTCCTTTCCTAATCCTTATATATCTGATATATCTTCCACCAGTAATTTTGTGATGGCTTAAATTATTTAGACTCTGCATATACATAAACTTGGACTTTTTTTCCTCTTTCAGATTTGAAACCTTACAAGTATGCGGGCTATCCTATGCTGATAAAGACCATTACCATTGAAACATCAGATGACCTTTTGTTTTCCAAAGAATCTCCACTGTTGCCTGCTGCTACAGAACTTGCTTTTCATACTGTCAGTTGTTCAGCATTAAATGCAGAAGAACTGAGGAGAGAAAGTGGAATTGAGGTAAATCTAAAGAAATGTGTTGAAGTGCATGCTTTTAGTGTAACTTTTCTGTAGCTAGAAAGCTTAGATCCTCAATGCCTGGGAAATCAGATGTAATTGTGAATCACTTTTGGTTTTGAGACACCTGTTAATCTAAACATCTCAGATGTTCTTGATACAGTAGGAGAAACATCTTGCACAATATACTCTTTTCTCGACCTGGGCTTGTCTAGTGAACTGTGGATAAGCAAGGTACATACGAAGTTTCTCTACTCCTTTACAGAACTGCTGCATTTTTTATGTGAAAGAATAGATAAATGTGAACAAGTCTTGAGCAGAAAGCCTTTTCATTGTACATATTGCCATATTAGAGCCATCTAGGTTGGAAAAGATGTTGTAGATCATTGAGTCCAGTCACTGATCCCAACACTGACAAGTCCCACTAAATCATGTCTACATGCCTTTTTAAATACCTTCAGGGCTGGCAACTCAGCCACTTGCCTTGGCAGCCTGTTCCAGTGCTTGACCACCCTTTCAGTGAAGAAATTTCTCCTAATATCCAATCTAAGTCTTTCCTGGCATAACATGAGGCCACTTCCTCTTGTCCTGTCTCTTGTTACTTGGGAGAAGAGACCGATCCCCACCTAGGTACACCCTCCTTTCAGGTGCTTGTAGAGAGTAATAAGCTCTCTCCATAGCTTTCTTTTCTCAAGACTAAACAATTCCTACTGCCTCAGCAGCTGCTTCTTGTCAGATCTGTACTCCAGAACCTTCCCCAGCTCTGTTGCCCTTCTCTGGAGATGCTCCAGCTCAATGTCTTCCTTGCAGAGAGAGGCCCAAAAAGGAACACAGCATTCAAGGTGCAGCCTCACCAGTGCTGAGTACAGTGGGACAGTCACTGCCCTGGTCCTGCTGGCCACGCTGTTGCTGATCCAGCCCAGGATGCCATTGTCCTTCTTGGCCTCCTGGGCACACCCTGGCTCACGTTCAGTGGCCGTTGAGCAGCACCCCCAGGTCCTTTTCTGCCAGGCAGCTTCCCAGCCACTCTGCCCCCAGCCTGTAGTACTGCATGGGGTTGTTGTGACCCAAGTGCAGAATCTGGCACTTCACCTTGTTGAAACTCATACAGTTGGCCTTGGCCCATTGGTCCAGCCTGTCCAGATCCCTCTGTAGAGCCTTCCTGCCCTCCAGGAGATCCACACTCCCACACAACTTAGTGTCATCTGCACACTGGCTGAGGTATTAGCTCACATGTGAGAAGATTGTCAGCTCTTAAAGCATCAAAGGGTGTTACTAGCGCTTGCAAGGAATTTTGCACTACAAACCATTTATGCTAGCAGCAGACTTCTGTCAGATGTTTACCTTCCGACATTAAAAATTACTTTACCAGCTAACGGTTTGGTTTTGCTGGCTTTTACCCCTTTCTGTTGTGACTGAACTTGTGCATCATCCAATCCTCACAGGTATTGCAAGAGGCATTTAATCGTTGTGTGGCAGTCTTGACTCGTTCTAGCAAGCCAGATGATATGTCTGTACAGGTGAGTTTAAAGCAGCTGCTTTAACTGAGTGTATTGTCTTCTCAGAAGACTACATGGTGTATGGATATGTACAATATGATAATAAACACAAATGTGTGTGTATATATAATAAAAACATTTATCTAGTATTGTATATATTAAAAATACAATTGTAAACATGCATTTTTCCTCCACTTGGAACCAATAAAATATTGTGTTTTGTAGGTATGTGGCTACATTAGTAAGTGTTACAGTGTAGCAGCTCAGTTTGAGGAATGCAGAGAAAAGATTACAGAAATGCCTAACATAATTAAGGACCTCTGTAGACTACTGTATTATGGCAAGGTGAGTGCTCCTTTTCTTTGTCCAAATGGGTGTTTAAATATTATGGGGAATATTCTGCTTATAGGGTAGATAAGAGTCATAGAATCACAGAATGGTTTGTGTTGGAAGAGACCTTAAGTTCATCTAATTCCAAATCCCCTGCCATGGGCAGGGACACATTTCACTAGACCAGGTTGCCTAGACCTGCATCCAACCTGACCTTCAAGACTTACAGTGATGAAGCATCCACAGTTTCTCTGGGCAGCCTGTTTCAGTGCCTCACCACTCTCACAGTAAAGAATACTTCCTAGTATCTGATTTAAACCTACACTCTCTGTTTGAAGCTTTTTCCCCTTGTCCTGTCACTCCAAATTGTTGTAAATAGTCACTCCCCTTTTGTGCAGGCTCCCTTCAGGTACTTGAGGGCCACAGTTAGGTCACCTTAGAGCCTTCTCTTCTCCAGGCTGAACAAACCAAATTCTTTTGGTCTTTCCTCATAGTTCTAATTGACTAGTTAAACCCTTCTGTAAGATCCCAGCAAATCATGAGGTACAGAGCTCAACTGCCTGGTTTCAACACTTGTTTGAATCCATTGAAACTGTAGATTTAAACTGCAACCACTCTAAACATTCAGCTACTTTTGCCTTTTAACTGACACATCAGGCAGCTTGGCTTACTGTACTAAATCAGCAGATAAAATTACTACAACTGGACCCTGCATAAGCAGATAACTTCTTGAATACTGTTCCCAGAGTTTATGCTGACTGTAGTCTTTCTTGCCATTTACCTCTTTTGAACTTGCCCCCTGTTATAAAAATGCTGAATTTTGTCTGAATTAAGAGAAGAAAGCTTGTCTTTAACTTTTCATGTGGGTTGTGGGGAAACAGGAGACTAAAACCGGATTCTAGTAATTGATTGTATGTGCCTGTGTGTTCTTTAGACCCTGCAGGACACATGTATTGCTGTAAAAAACTCACCTGGGAATCTCTGCCACAGTTCACCAATGCTTCTTTCTAATCATACGAAATAACTATTCAAGTACTCTTCCCCTTGAAAGGTGCTGGCTAATTAGCCATGTTGTTCATTACCAAATACTTCAGCTGCAGAAATTATGTCTACTTCAGTTTTCATCTCTGGCCTGCTGAGATAGTACTGCAGAATTAGCAAGTTTTGGCTTTTAAATCTTTGGTACAGAAACCAGTTGGCATTCTTTGGTTACAGGTATTAAGGCAGACTTCTTTCTTCTCCCCTCAGACCATACCACGAGTAGCTGCTTTAGGAGTAGAATGTGTCAGCTCCTTTGCCTTAGATTACTGGCTACAAACACATTTGTTCCAAGCTGGAGTTCTGTGGTACTTACTGGGTTACCTCTTCAATTATGACTATACGCTGGAGGAGAGCGGGATTCAGAAAAGTGAAGATTCAAACCACCAGGTAATTTTGCCAAGGTGCTTTCAGCAACCAGTGGCTGTTGTTTTCCATCTCTTACTAGGAGTTAATTTACTTACCAAGAATAAGTGTATTCAAGTGTTTGTTAGAATCATTGAATTGCATGAAGAGTAACATTAACAGAGAGTTTTGGTAGGGAATTTTTGTATAGTGATGAATACTCTGAGGTTTTTTTGGTTTTTTAAAGTGTTCAACTGTTAAAGCTGCCAAAACCCATAGTTTCTAATGGACTTCATGCAAGACACTTTTAATCTATAGCAAGCAGTATAAAAGTAAGTTTTTGAGACGAGAAGAAGGCTCTAGGTTTTCTCAAATGGCCTCTGTATTTTTCAGGAGGTAGCAAATTGCCTTGCTAAACTCAGTCTCCTGGCCCTGAGTCGCCTTGGAGGATATCTTTCTGATGAACAAGCTACTCCTGAAAACCCAACAATCAGGAAAAGCTTGGCTGGAATGTTGACACCCTACATTGCAAGAAAACTTGCTGTGGTCAGTCCTACTGAGGTAAGCATCTGTTGGCCAAAACTTTCTCTAGTGATTTATAAAAGGAATAGCTGGTCACTTCTAAAACATTCAACTTTCTTAGACCAATTAACAGCAATATGATTTTTATTTGCAGCTGAGGTAACTGCAGGGGAAAACTGGTTCAGCCTCAGACACTATGGACAGGAACAGTGCTTCCTAGAATAATATTTGCAAAACAAATACAAGAACAAAAAAGTGGAGTTAATTGTTCAAGGCTTTAGGATATAATGATGATGGGGAGCAAAGTTTTAACTTAACTCTTTAAAAGTGGTGCCAAGAAAGCCGTCTGTAAACAGATAGTGCAGGCAGTTGCTGCTCACTGTCAAAAGTGGATGGAGAATCTGAAGTGTGTCTCAGAGCAGAATAAAGAGAAAACTAAAATGTAGGTTGTACTTTACCTCATAACTTGCACATACTGTTTTTCTGGTATGTTTTTCCAATATGGTAAATTTTACACTTTAAACTTGCTTCTGTAATTAGTCTAGCTGTTAATGAGATTGGATTGACTGATACCATGAAACATGCTGATTAATGTGCATAATGATCCAAAAATATTGCAAATGTAAATTGCAGCATCATGTAAATTCCTTTTCTTAGACTCTGAAGATGCTTAACAGTAACACAGAGAACCCCTACTTGATCTGGAACAATGGGACACGAGCTGAATTACTGGAGTTTTTGGAATCGCAGCAAGAAAGCATGATTAAGAGAGTAAGATACTCTTTACTTTAAATCCCAGTACTATTTTTTTAAAAAACTGTTCCGTGTTTTCCTATATCCTCTTGGGATGAAATTGTATGATTAATACAAGTATCCATTGTTGTCTACCCCAAAGTCACTTTCTTCATTCCACAGTTTTTAAAAGAAAACAAAAACCCTGTGATTTTGCTTGTTCACTTCATGTTATGTTTCAGTCTGAGCTTCTGACTTGCTGAAGAATTAAGTTTTCTGTTCAAGTATTGCTTATTTCATTATCGGATTATAGCTTTACACTTTCTATAAGATTATTTTCTGTCTGAGCTTGTGCTGCTTATCTCTGCTTAAAGGGTGATTGTGACAAGAGCTATGGATCTGACTTTGTCTTCAGTGACCATGCAAAGGAACTTATTGTGGGAGAGATTTTTGTTAGAGTCTACAATGAGGTCCCTACCTTCCAACTAGAGGTGAGATGTAGCTAAAAATCTTCCCGTTAAAACTAGTGTTTGGAATGCTACTTCTTCCTGTTTATCTATCTGTCAGTACAAACAGAATGGAGAAAATAAAAAAATGTTATGGAAATTTGCTTCAAGATCAACATGTTATGAGAAAAAACTTTACTGGAGCAGAATAAATTAAAATAACAAATCTGTCATAAGGTGTGGTCTTCAAATATCTTAGTGACTTCTCTCTACAAGCTTGTGATGCAGACACTTGGGCTGATTCAGTATATCCAGGAAGTGGTGATTCTGCCTATTGGCTTTATAATCAGTATATATGGGCAAACACATGCCTGTTGGAGTAGTGGCAGCTTTTTAAATGTATGTTTAGATAGGAATAGGGTTTAATATGATCCAGGTGTTACAGTGATCATAGAGAATTGTTGCCTATCTGGAAGAAAGGAATATGTGAAATGTAGAAGTTGGATACATTTTCTACTATGTACTGTTGCATTACACAGCTAAAAATGCTGTCATCTCTACTTCAAAGCTTCCTAAAGCATTTGCTGCAAGCCTCTTGGATTATGTAGGCTCACAAGCGCAGTACCTTCATACGCTCATGGCAATAACTCAGACTGGGAAAGTGGAGTCCAATCAACACGGAGATCGCTTACGGAGAGTTGAAATGGCCTTGGAGGCTCTGAGAAATGTCATAAAACACAACCCAGGTAGGCTTAAAATTGAACTTCCCCAGTATACTTTTCTGTGGACAGCCTTAAAAACTCAGAACCTCTGTAGTCTTTATCTTTCAGTGAGAAGGAAGCTTTTTTTGCTTTGCTTAACGTTGTCGGTAAGCCATATGAGCTTGCCGGTTTTTTCCTTACCAGGAGAGCACTGTCAGTAGATGTAGCAAAATTTTGAGTTAAATTCAAGCTTTATCTGTTTTCATTTCTGAATCATTAGGTTTTAACTGTAATTTGATCCTGCTGTTGCTAGGAAGACTTAAACCTCTTTAAAAAAAACTTTCTGTAATCCTTCAAAGAATCTTCAACTGATTTTTAAGTTTCCTTGTGTCAAAAAATCCTCCTTGAACTGCATACTGTGTGCTAGTAAACATCTAAGTGGCACCCATGTTAGGGCCATAGTAAAGCAAGAGGAGAAGGTGCTCTTCAAGGTTTAATGAGCAGACATCAATGTACAGACTGGAAAAGCCTGAGACAAATGATTATGATGTTATGCTACTTCTAAAAGCAAACCATGTTACTATTGTGGCATCTAATAATAGCTGGTTAGGATGTTCTCAGTATGTGCAGTTATAAACCTGAAGGCCAACTGTGCTGCTGGAGATAGCAATCCTGCTCTGAGCTGGGACATTCTGAAAGGACAAGTGTATTTGAAGACAATAGGTTTTGATGGTTAATGATAAATAAAATTAAGGAATTTGTTTTAAAATTAAGGAACAGTTGTTTTCTAAGAATGCAAGTAACTAAGTGTAGTCCAAGAACTGCATCAGTTACTTTCCTTAGAGAGGGGAGTTACCTTCTGTTTTTGAAATGTTGTTGACCTGAAATTCTGTGGAAGCTAGATTAACAGAGAGGAGTTCATAATTTTCTAACTCTGTAGCAGCTGCTGTCCTTTATGAACTGTTACAACTACATACAGCTGTGTAGTCTTTAGCACCTCTCTGTATAGTGAAATATGGGAATGGCCCTTCAGTGACTGCTTTGGCTAACATGGAGAGTAACTTACTTGGTCTCTTGCAGGTTCTGAGTGTGAATGCATAGGGCACTTCAAGTTGATATTCTCCCTTCTGCGTGTTCATGGAGCTGGCCTGGTGCAGCAGTTGGCTCTGGAGGTAAAAAGCCCAACCAACCAAAAAACAAACCAATCCCCACAGACTCCCAACCTCCCTGTCTGGATGCTTTACATAATCACCATAAACAAACCTGACTGTGTAGCTGTTAGAGTAGCATCTGAAAAATACTAAGCGTGCGGTTCTAAGGTGTCAGCTCCTCCTTGGAGGAACATGTGATACTTTGTGCCTGTGTCTTTGCATCCTTCTTGCCTGAAGAGACAAAACAATTTGGTGGCAGGAATAACTGTTTTAAATATCAGGTCTATTGGCCTGTGAGTTGGCTGACTTCATCCACTGGGGTTTTTTCTGAAAAGTGTCTGAATAGCTGAAATATAATCAAGTACTGTTTCTGTTCTTTTGCAGGTAGTGAACATAGTAACAAGTAATCAAGAATGTGTTAACAACATTGCTGAGGCAATGGTTCTTGCTAACTTACTGGCACTCCTGCATTCCTTACCTTCAAGTAGGTATTGTAAGATTCTCTATCTTGCAAAGGCAAAGGGTTTCTAAGTCAGAAATTTATAAGAATGCAGCTGGCTGAAATTAGCACTGAGTTTTAGGTTAAAATGGTCTTGTTAGCTTTATAGGATAGAGAGCTGGGTTATGAAGAGAAACTACAGTAAGAACACCTATACACTGGAACAAAGCTTTCCTCAGACTTCTCAGCTGTTGCTGTGCTCCATTCCAGTTGCACAGCTATATTGGAACAAAGCTTTCCTCAGACTTCTCAGCTGTTGCTGTGCTCCATTCCAGTTGCACAGCTATTAATGAGAGCAGTAAAGACAGTACTGCAGTACATCCTCAGTGAAATACTGTGTTTCTATGGCCAGTCCTAATAACAATCTTCAGCTATCAGTTGATAGCTAGATAAGAAAAGCAAAGCTACCAAACACATATCACCTATTTTTTTTTAAGAAGATGACAAGAAGCAGGATTAGAAATAGTTTTTCAAACAAATGCAAATTTTAGACCATCTCTGTCATCACATAGGCCCTATGATGTGCTAGTAAGTCACTTCTGTCTGATGATTTAAACAATAGATGACTATCATATCCAAAGCTAACAAGGATGGTTTACAAAAATTTTGTGTGTGACCAGTTTTTTGTCTTAAATGTGTGACCTGAAGCATATGAATAGCAGGTACTCTGATTACTTCTGAATTGTGTAGTGTTCCATTGGCTAATTATTTCTGAGAATTTAGCTAATTAGCACCCAAGTAAGAAGTTATTCTGTATTAGAATGTGTGATTGATTTGACATTCTTTAACTAATGTACTGTAGCCAGAAATCCCTAAGCTTGTAATTCTTGGAAGCTTTATTGCACTTTTGATACAGGTTTCTGTTAAGATCAGTTACATTTATCTTTGCTTATTCATTCTGTGTGACACAAAGTTCTTAATGCTCTTTATTTTGACAGGTCGGCAGCTTGTCCTTGAAACTTTGTATGCTTTGACATCTAGCACAAAAATAATTAAAGAGGCCATGGCAAAAGGTACAGTACTACACTGAAAGCAAATGTTTCTGCAGCAATGGACTTAAAGTGAATAGAGTGGCCACTCGCCCATTTCAAATAATCTGTGTTGAATTGGAGAATTTCTACAACTTGTGACCAGAAAGAAAAAAAATTTCTATGTTCCCTATCTCTTTGTTACAGGTGCTTTAATCTACTTATTAGATATGTTTTGCAACTCAACTCATCCACAGGTCCGAGCCCAAACGGCGGAGCTTTTTGCCAAAATGACTGCAGATAAGCTGGTGGGACCAAAGGTAAGAATCTTAACAGCTCATGTTGGAACTCTTTCTTGATATTACCTGTATCTCTCTAAAGATGAGCAAAAAAATCATTTTCTGTATCTAAAATACTCATGTAAGGATCAGTCGGGCTTTTTCAAAATAATTTAACTTTTAATCTGTGAGCAACTTCACAACTATTGCATGTAACTATATAAGCAGTATGTAACTGGTATAAGCAGTTTGGTTTCCATTCATTGTGACTTTAACAGTACAGACTTAGATTTCAGTGTCATTGGCTATTACTATTTGAAATGGTGGCACTGTTTTATTCTGTGGTGTTGTGGTCTAGCACTTGACAATTCTAGCATTAAAGATAGTTGGACATTGTGGAGTTTTCTATTTTTGTCAGATTGTCCTGTCAGTTAGTTTGTCGTACGATATACTAAATGTCATTTATGTTCATCCCTTCTAGGTTAGAATCACACTAATGAAATTTTTACCTGGAGTCTTCATGGATGCCATGAGAGACAACCCTGAAGCTGCTGTTCATATCTTTGAGGGAACCCATGAAAATCCAGAATTAATTTGGAATGACAGCTCCAGGGAGAGAGTATCAACAACAGTTCGAGAAATGATGCTTGAGTATGTGGAAACCTTCTGATTCAGTTATGTTTAACTGAAAAACTCTCTTAGTGGCAGTAAACTGGAGTTGCTGTAGAAGAACTGTGAGACAGAGCTCCTCCTGTAAAAAGTAGAATTCTTGTAAGCCAGACTTCAGTGAAAGAAACTTGTTCACTGTGTACTGCACCTGTAAGTTAATGATGCAGGTGTAGTTTGTGCACAGTCCCAGGTATTTGCTCACTGCTGTAGGATTTGGAGGGTTACAGTGGGGGTAGAATGGGGCTTAGAAACAGTGCTTCACAATGATGGAGGGAGACTGAGGTGTCAAGTAGAGAAGACAACGCCTTCATTTACTGCTCATTAAAACTTGCTTTCTTTTTAAAGGCACTTTAAACTTCAGAGGGACAACCCTGACACTAACTGGAAGGTAAAAGTATACTGTTTCTGCTTTGAGTGTGTCCAGGGAGGCTGTAGGCAACACCATAATAGATGCATGTATTGGACTCTAAGAGGCTTTTCTCTTAAAGTACTAACAGGGATTCGCTGCTGTGCTGTAAAATGTAACTTGATTACTGAAAACATAACTGGTTTAATGTTGAATTTATGCTTTTGTTATTACTTGCACCTAGAAATTAGACACTTACTGGTAAAACCACTGTCAGTATACTCTGAATGTTCTGATAGTTCAGGTTACTCTAAAACTCATCAAAAGTCTGCAACAAAGACGAATACTGGTTTGCTGGAAGAAGTCCTGTCACTACTCTAGCCATTGTAAACTTGCTCTTGGTAAATGTGAAGTAACTTTCATAAGTCACTGGGTCTCAAAAAATAATTAAGAGTCCTTAGCCATTATTCCCTCACATCAGGCACATCAATGAGGTGTTTCAGTATGTAGTGATTCCCAGTACCTTAAAAAAGCTAGACATGACTTCCTCCCAACAGTCCTTTAGTTCAACATTAAACCAGTTTCTCAACGCATCATGATGTCTGTTTTGATCCAGATGAATACTGGAAACTTCCCTAGACTGATGGTGAGAACCTTTCCCTGAAGTGTGCAAGGAAGGAAAGGGCTGTTGTATAATCAGCCTTGTTGCTAGTGCTTCTCTTGAACTAGGGTTTGCCACTGTTGGTAGGTTCAGTTCCTTGTGTTCTTTGAAAGAAAAGTTCACTATAGCGGTACTGCCTGCACTTCACCGTTCTTTCTACTGTCATTTCTTACCTCATGTTCTTTCAAGATGAAGGGTTTATTGTCTTGCACAGCTGTTTTGGAGAATACAGTTAGTGACCCTAACCACTTAGAGACTCTAACAGTTTTAGATCTCTCTAATATCCTTGTCAATAACTTCCACTTTACAATTCAACAGCTGCCTGAAGACTTTGCTGTGGTGTATGGTGAGGCAGAAGGTGAACTTTCAGTGGGGGGAGTCTTCCTCAGGATTTTTATTGCCCAGCCGGCCTGGGTTTTACGGAAACCAAGAGAATTTCTCATTGCACTGTTGGAAAAGTTTACTGAACTACTGGAGAAAAATAACCCCCATGTAAGATGATTTTTTCTGGTTCTGTGCTTTGAATTTATTTAGCATTCTTAAGTCTCTTAGTGTCTGATTTAGATTCTCACACTTTCTTCCCATTATAAATGGTGTTTTCTGTCTGCTTTATGACTCTCTGTAAAAGCATGCTGATATGTTTAGGCAACTTTTGAACATGAGTCAAGGTTTTAAAGTCCCTGAAGCCATAGAATTAGATTCACTTAAGTCTTAGGGACTGATTTTATGCTAGAGATGAGGCTTAACAAGTGAAGTGTCTTTTAATTATTCCAGGACTGACCAACCAAAAAAATGGCACTTGTTCTATACCACCTAAAATTCTTCTGCTCTTGAGACTTCTGTTTCCCTTCTGCAACACTAACTTCCCACTCATGCTAAATTATGTGGCCTACAGTAGGCTGCAGTTACTGTAATGAGTACAGCAAATGCGATACAGTTTGAAAATTAATTTTTAAACAGTGTCCAGGCAGATTCTGTGTTAGTCTTGCAGGATGGAAACTAACTAGCATGTTGAATAAAACAGGTGTCTTATGAAGATGTGATAGCAGTTTGTAGAGGCATGCAGAATACACAAGGCATGACAAGTGATTCTGCACAGACTGCAGAATACTTTGGGAATTCAGCTGAACATCCATGCTGTCTTCCACCAAACAACTTAGCCAGATACTGGATTCTCAAGATGCTGGAAAGAGTGCTTAGGAATTCCCATGTGATCTGTCTTTGTGCAACTAGTGTATATTTGCCACTATTGGAGCTGATAATCATATTCTTAACTTGTTGTTTTAACAGTTTGAGAGCTAAGTGATATAAAAGCTTTAGGGAAAAAATCTATAATGCAAAGCAAGTGAGAAATGTTGTTATGATGATACATAAGGCTTTACTGAGTTACACTTTCTGTTGATTTTCAATTTTCTGCAGGGGGAAACATTAGAAACCATTACAACAGCAACTGTGTGCCTGTTCAGTGCCCAGCCTCAGCTAGCTGATCAAGTTCCTCCTCTTGGTCATCTTCACAAGATAATCCAGGCTATGAATCACAAGAACAATGCCATTCCTAAAAGTGCCATTCGTGTCATGCACATATTGTCAGACAATGAGGTACTGAGTCATCCAAGTCCTTGTGGGGAGAAAAGCATAGCTGGAGTTATTTGTATTGTTTAGTAGTGTTCCTAAAAGGGCTTTATTCTAACTATAAATACTGTGTAGCAAGTGAGCAGTGACCTATAGATAATTAATGGAGAATTGCTAGATTAAACAATGAGAAATTTATGGTGTTGGCTGACCATATCTGCAATGACCATTAATCTTGGCATAAAATAAAGTCCTCAGGATGTTTTATCTCTCTACAGCTTTGTGTTAGAGCGATGGCATCACTGGAGACCATTGGCCCTCTCATGAATGGAATGAAAAAGAGATCAGATGTAGTTGGGATAGCCTGTGAAACACTGAATCGAATGTTTCAGAAGGAACAAACTGACTTAGTAGCCCAAGTAAGTAGTACATTTTCAAACTGTAAAAATGTGGTATGTTTAAACTGTTCAACTTAAATGGCACCTGGGAAGCCTCCTGGACACTTAACTAATGTGCTTTTATTGTTGGAAAAGTTTCTTATCTAAAATGTAGACCTGTTCAAGGATGTTACCTGAGCATTGAAGCTTAATGCACAGAGTAGTGTGTCTACTGAGAGAGTGCAGTGACATGTAATGCAACTGAGTTTACACCTAGATAAAGCAGAATTGCTGGACAGTATCTTTGCTTTCTCTTGTTTGTATTCATACAGCTCAGGAAAAATGGACTCATCTTTGGCATTTGTAGTAATAGTTGTTGGCACTTTTGTTTCATACTAATGGTAGTGGTATAAAAAAGATCTCTGTAGAACTTCCTGGTCTGTGTTAAGACAACTCATTTGGGTATGTTTGCAGGCTTTGAAAGCAGATTTGGTCCCTTATCTTCTAAAGCTGCTTGAAGGGGTTGGTCTTGAGAACCTTGAAAGCCCATCTGCAACAAAAGCTCAGATTGTTAAGACTCTGAAATCCATGTCTCGCAGCCTGCAGTATGGGGAACAGGTGAGTACTCACAAGTCTTTATCTGGGGTTTGACACTTGGTAGGTCTAACTTTGAACATCTCTTGTTTAATCTTCTGGCTGTCATGTGCATCATTCTACCTAAAATGTTAACATTCTGCCAACTGCGAAATGATTAGGGCTTGGAATTTCTTAATTTCTTGCTTGTGGAGAAGTCATTGGCTCAATGCATGTGAAGAGCACTAATGAGAATGACAATTTTTATTATTCTTGTTATTATATTAAGTGCAGAAATGTTCTATGAGCTGGTTAGCTTTAACTGACAACTCTTCAGAACTTGTGTTATAAATGTAAATTTCTCCTCTGTTTTTTGAATAAATACATAACTGCAGCAGTATATCTAAGTAAATATGGGTGTATATCTAAGTAAATTTGTCCCAGTAACTGTGCTAGTTCTTAATGCCTTTCTCTTACCCTTTTGTTGAAAGCTTTCTCAAGGGGAGGAAACTTGGAATAGGTCTTTCTTCCTATAGAAAGACCATGTAGTCCCTATCTTGCTCTAGTACAGGAAAAGTCCTCTTCTCCCTCAGCTGTCAGTGACTGGCAAGTGCTGCTTCTAGGGTTGCTTTTCCTTGTCACTTTTCTGGGGAATAAAGGATAAAGTCAAGCTACTAAATAACTTTTGAGCATTGTGTTCAGCTGCACAATTCACATGGAAAAGCAAGTCTCCTTGGAAGTGCACACAAATTCCATATCACAGCCTGAACTACTGCCATGTTCTTTGGTGTAATCCCTTCCGAATGGTTTGGTAATAGAAAATGAGGTTTTTTTTGCCTAGAATGCAACAAATGGCACTTGCTCACTGTGTTATCTCTTCAAATACTGTAGGTAAATGAAATTCTGTCCCGTTCTTCTGTGTGGAGTGCCTTCAAGGATCAGAAACACGACTTGTTCATTTCTGATACACAAACATCAGGATACCTCACAGGTTAGCAACTCTTTCCTGTTTTTATCCCAAATTGTACTGAACTGTTGCTTAGTTGTCACAATGAACTCTGGAGTTACTGTTTATCCCCAGGATCTAGTGCCATCAGGTGGTCTGAACATTCAATGCTGTAAAAATACAGTATGTTTTTAGAACACTTGCTAAAAGGTAATCTTCTTGCTGGTTGAGAAGGTATTTCTCTGCACAGTCTTTACTGTACATGCTTAGCAACAGAATCTGGACACTGGCAAGCCTTGCAAGTACTCTGCAGTGATAAAGCAGAGATGTAATTGAAACTGAAGAATGACAGTAGCTTTCCATGCTTTCTCAGGATCAGTCTACTTCAGTTCTAGAACACAAGTTTTTCCACAGTTGAAGGGATGTGTAAACATCCCTTCAGAATCACTCAGACTGTCTGTGTTAGTTTGCTTTGTGAATTAACACAACTTTAGTGTCAGACAGGTAGTTGTACTGTTGGAAGAGTTGGAATGCTAATAGGTTGGAGTTTGAGGCTGTGTTCCAGCCAGAATCAGTGGCCTGCCAGGGTGGCCTGTACATGGAGCTTGCAGCATATACTTCACTGCAGCAGTGGCACACCTTGGGTGAGTCCCCTGCTGGTGCCACCAAGATTGAAATGGCACCCCAGAGGCACACCAGCCTCACTGGTGATGAGGAAGAGCATTTTAACTCTGTGTGCACGCTAAGGTTAACAATTGATGGGAACGTCTTTGCATGGTGCAGACATACTCCCAGATCAGTTATGTCACTGCAAATCAAGTCCTGTTTTTCCTTCACTTGAGCAGCACTTGGCAGACACAGAACATCACAGTCCAGAACATCACTATCACATAAAATATTTTCAGATGTAGCAAATAATGACACTGCAGCAAACTGTCTAAAGCAAGACATGATGCAAACTTCTGACTCCTCAGTAGCCTCAACAAACACTTGGTCTTAAAAGCTTTGCCTCACAGGTGAGGTTTTAAAGTCCTTTGTGACAAGCCAGTGTGGACACAGCCATGTGCCACATGGAACTTTCTCATCTAACCCAATATAGGAATATAGGTAAAGCTTCTGAGCATAACTGAAATAATGACATGTAAATCAAATGGCCAAAGTTTTTCTTGCAAGATATTAGCAGGTATTTTGAGAAAATGAAGCAAGAGCCTTTCAAGTCAGGAACTACATCTTCTAGAAGTAGTTGCTTATATTTTGAGAGTAGGTGTTGCAACACTTGATGCATTTTTTCACACAGGAGTCTGTGCTTTGGCTCTGAACAGGAGTTTTCTGGTTTTGTACTGTTTAATGCCAGTCAAAGAACACTGGAACTGATTCAGTTTGTACTGAATTTTCTTGGTATTTCATAAATACTATAAATTTAGTAATAGGAAGAAAATGCTGACTGATTATTGGCCAAGAACTGAGACTACCAGATGTGGTCAGGCTTTGAGACTGGGGGCAATACAGTTTTCCAATTGCCTTAAGGCCCATGCTGCTTTTATATTGCCTAATGTTTAAGTGCTTGCTAATGTAGAATGAAGGTGCTGTACAAATGCAAAGTGTAGATGGAAACCAAACTTTAATCAATCTTTAACCTCTCTTACCTTGTATTCTGCCTTATGTCTTGCTTCAAATTGCTTTGCTATTTGCACTTCCCTTGAAACTTCCCTTGCTTATTTCTCTTCCCTCAGGTGTCTCTTCTCCTTCCCTTCTAACTGGCAGCAGTCCCCTTCACCTGAGAAGTGGGCTTTAGATCTGCTGTGTCAGGCAGCTTGCTAACTTCTGTGTAGCTCTCTAAAGCAGGTAGATACCACCTCGCAGAACGCACGCTGCGCTCGCTGCATTCCGATAACAGATGCATGTCCTAGAGCTGTACAAATGCGTGGTCCCACACTGCCCAACACCGACACACTTGCCTTCCTCGAGCACACAGGATTACTACACTGACAACTGCACTGGCTGGTACTTGCTGGTACTACACAGAAATTCAACTTTGCAACTATGTTAGGAATCCTTCATAATGGAAAACCTTGAGGCACAAGATAACTATGGGGAATTTTTGCACTAGGATGGGTAACAGTGGGTGTGACACTTGGCAGGTTTCACTGATGGGCTGGCAAAGAGAGGTTCCCTCCTGCAGTCAGAGAGCTTTTTATTGCCAGAGGCATTGCTTGCTTTGCTCTCTGCCTTGTAGCAGTGTGGGACTGTTTGCAGGGAGACAAACCATGCTCTGATGTTCTGGCTCTGGGCTGAAGTGTGAGAAAGGAGGGTGGGGCAGGAAGGAATAGTAAATTCCTCCCACTGAGGGAGAACTCAGTGAGGATAGCTTAAAGGGGAAGAGTACAGGACCCAGCAGAACTTAGTATGTTGAATATAGGCATTGTAGGCTGGAGGTCTAAGACCCAAGTCAGTCGCTCTATTGGCGCAGGAACATGTTGTGAGTGATCAGTTTTCTAGTCACAAATGTGATAAAAATTACTGTTAAAACACCTCATGCTGCAACCTAAGCTTTTATTGCATGTGTTGAGAGTTTCTGTATGACCAAATTTTTAATTCCAGGCTTTGAGGGAGAGGGGCTTTGCCTGCAGTGCAAAACTGATTGCCCCTATAGTAATCAACATGGAAACTTAGTAATGGTGTGAGTCCCGCATCTCCAGTTTGAAATTTGTATCCTAAGAATGCTGTCACTTTATTCCAGCTGAAGGCACAAAATGCTGGATAGACAAACTTTAGGCAGTTCTGCTTCTTCATGGGGCAGCCCACAGTGCTTTCTGGAACTATGCAGCTGGGAAAAACCTTTACAACACTGAAAAGACACACAAGGAGCCCAGTAGTGGAACATATGCCTGAACTCACTTTGATTTCATGGCAGGGCCTTTCTTTAGCAAAGGAAGGCCATCCCTGTTTTGCTGCTGCTTCCATGATGGATGGTGAGGTGGGTAGTGCAGGTGGTTGGGGTTCTTTTTAACTTATGTGGCATATCAGAATAAAATAAAAATGAAAAAGCTGAAAAATGCCCCCCACAAGCTATTCCACTTGGTAGACTAAGAAGTCTTTAGTTTCTAGTGTTCCTAGATTTTAAAGAATTTAAAGAAAAACTTAAATATTCTTGTGTAAGGTGTCTGATTGACATAGATGATGTGTCTGAGTGTTACCAGAGGGAATAAAATAGAAGGAAAACTAATCACCAGTATTTTTTTTCCTCCTGAAAGGCCCTGGAGTTGCTGGTTACCTCACTGCAGGGACGACATCATCCGTAATGCCCAACGTACCACCCCCGGTAGACAACGAAGTGGGAGATGTCAGCTAAGGACTGGAAATCCTTGTGGAAGAGACAAAGGCAGACTGGCCAGTGACGAGGAACAGCACTTTCCTCCAATACATTGAAGTGAACTTACTGCCTTGCCAGGTGTTTATGACAGTGTTATTCCTTTTTTCTATGACTTTTTTTTTCTCAGAAAAGTCAGTGATTCTAACTACCACACTGTAACACAAGAAAGCACTCTGTGGATCAGCTGAAATGGGTACACAAGAATTTTTTTCTTGTTGTACATAAGCACATTTTGTTCCTTTATATTTGTTTACAAGACTGTGAATCAAACTTTCCTAGTTTTTATATTTTATGAATTAGCATGACTGGAGTTGAGCTACAGTCTAGAGGAATTGGGCTAAAATAACTTTGACCTCACCGACCCCGCTAAAAGGGCATCCCTTCATTTCTCAGTCTGATGTGATCACTCCCATTGAACATGACCTGAAAGGGTTTGTCCCTGCACCAGTTCACTCATGTCCTTAATCATTAACATTATCTTCTTCCTTGGATCAAACAGCATTAGACATTTGTATGTATAACTGGCTTGACCAAATTGACGAAGCTTCAGCAAAAAAACCTTAAAAAGTTGACATGTTATGTAAGAAATTAGTGTAATTGTGAAATGTTCTATACATTATCCAGTATATAAAAACTTTCTATATTGAGTGTACATTATACAGATCATTCATATGTACATAGAATTTTAAAATAAAGGGAATTAAGAGCCTTGTTAATGAGATAAAGGTGGTGTTCTTGTCTAGCTGTTCTTTGAAAGTTCTAATTAGGTGGAACTAATTGGAACGTGGCTGAATATGATCCTGGGCGTTCTTGGTTGAGAAAACACTTTGTGCAGGTTTTGACAGCCTAGAGCAGAACTCCTGAACCACGTGTAGTAGTACAGTGCAGGTGGTTTTGTATTTGAAGTGAATTTCAGCCACTGACCTGCTCACACTCTTAACTTCCTAGAAAACGTTCTTGGCAGAAAGCAAGAGGAAACTAAGGTGGATGTAAATGTAAACAAGAATTACTGCTTTCTCAAAAGATGTTATAACCTTGGTTTTAAGTATAATGAAGTAAGGAACTTCATGGAATGCTTCCAGTTCTAAGTACTCTGCCACTGTACCCCTCAGTGACCACTGCAGCCGCAGCTGGACACCCTTCAAGTGAGCACTTGGCTCTGGGCTCAAGGACAGAACAGGCACAGCCTCATCCTGAAAACAGAGGCAAGCAGAATGTGTTCTTCCTGGGCTCCAGCAGGAAGGAGCTTGGAGGGAGGGGCTTGTCTGTTCATGCAAGCATGAAAAACATAACGTAAACCCTTGTGTCCTTAACTTCATTGCCCTTAAGTTACCACCCCTGTGTAAGTTGAAAAGTGATTATCCTAGCTCCAGGAAGTAGAGCTACCAGTGGTGCAGTGTGATCTGCCTGGTTCTGTTCCTGCACGGGCAGGTTCTCTTGAAGTAGCTCAGGTCAAAGGGAATTGGAGCAGAACTGAGTAACTCTGACCTTTGAGAACTCCATACAGGTGTATTGGGCATAAATGCCAGAGCCTGTTTTGGTAGCAGCAGAGGCCATGAACTGCACCCTGACACTGCTGCTGCCAGCCAAAACATCAACTCTTTAGGGAGAAAGGTGCCACCTTAGCTTAGGCAGATTTAGGAAAAGGTGGGAGCAGCTGGAACCAGGAGGAGGCTTGTGAGGGTGCACAAAAGGAGGGACAGGAAGAAGGATGCAAGGGAAGACAAAAGGGACATCTGTAAGGGGAAAGGTGGGGAGATCTATTTGGAAAAGCAATGCAGAGTAATAAGCAAGCAGCAGCAGACAATCTGCTACATGTGACACCAGCCTTCTGTGCTGCCCTGAGCCTCACTTGAGGGGAGCTGGGGGTAGGACTGAGCATAGTCTCAGTGCCTACAGGAAAGGAAGGCAGCTGAGAGCTGGGGAGCAGAGAGGGTTGGATTGCAGCTGAGCTTTGGAAAAGAAAAAGCAAGGTACTACCTCCAGTGTTTGTCATTTCACAACATTAGATGTTTAGCCTACCTTGTAATAAATTAAATTTTCTGACTCAAAACTGCTTTGTCTACAATAAAAGGATAAAGGGCTTTGATTCAGCACAAAGAAAGCACTTTAGGCCTGTTAGAAATAGATTTTATTTAGCGTTACAAAGAGCCCAGATAAGTTATTTACATGGCTTCTGCAAATTCTTAAAAAGCAAGCCCATAATTATTAACTGCAATAAGTGAAAATAGTGAGATAATTGCTTCCAGTTAGAATCAAGTTTTTGTATTCATTCAATTTTACCTTGGATACCGTTATTACACTGATACTTTTCCTAATTCTTCCCTCCCTTTGAGAAGGCTTTATGCTGACTTTAGATTTTTGCAGTGAGCTTCTTTGACTGATCAAGGAGTTCCCACCTTGCAATTGTTGAGAGATGAACTTCATCGGGCCCATCTGCTAGGCGCAAGGTGCGTATGGACGCGAACCTGTGTGGGGAGAGCCAAGTTAGGGGTGGGTTCCTGACCTGCCACAGCAGCTACACAGGCTCATGTGGGAGCTCTCAGCACCGCTCTTGCTGCCCTTTTGACACTCCTTGCTTTGAAAAGTCCTGTCACATGGGAGATACTGCAGCAAAATCTTCCTGGCAGGATTGAGAGGGGAGGACTGGGAATTCAGAAGTTTCGCTTCTCCCCAAGGCCATAAGTGATAACATAAAGTTTTAGAAGCACATCCTCTTTACTGCTGATAAGAACTATTTTAGGTCCAGTGCCAGCTTTTATTTTTGTAAGGCTAGTTGAACTATAAAAACAATTGTTTTAAATTTTATAGCTTAAAGGGACACACACTATTATTTCATGCTGAGGTGAAATGGCATGTACTGGTGTTACAAGTTTTTGTAAAAGAAATGCTTAGAATCTACAGGAGATCTCCCTTTACTCACATGAAGGCCAAAGGAAAATCCTGGGAAACTCCAGCTCCACCACACACTTGAACTGCACAGTCAATCACTTTAAGCACAGCTCGTGGAACAACCACTTTGGTCATGGCTACCTGTAGTTAGAAGAACTCACATTATCAGTAACAATTCATGAGCAAGTGAAAATATTTACCCAACACTTCTGTTGAATATTGGTATCTCTGAGTACATTCCTTCCCCTTGGGGTTGGATGAGAGCTCTGCTCTTCCCGTTCCCTGGCTACGGTAAAACTGTTTCCAGTCACCCAAAAATATGCTACTGTGTTGAGACAAGCAAGCAATGCTTTAACAGATTCAGCTCTGTTTCAGACAGAGATCACACCCCTGATCTTCTGACAATTAAAAGCATATCTTAAAGCTGTTTTCAACATGGAGTTAAACTCTACACTTAGAATAATAATGTTTAACAATATGTTCTACCTTGTTATTTTAGCCAGCTGAATGCACAGGCATTGCATCCACCAAGTCCTAGCTACCAAAACATAAAATTTACCTCTTTCCTTGCTCTTCTGTTGCCCAACATGTCAATCTTGCGGGCTGTTTGTAGCGTGAGCAGGCGAGCCTGTTCTATGCTAAGGCGGCATTCTGCAATCCAGTGGGCAACAACTTCCTGCAGAATCCAAAGCCAACATCAGTTAATGCCTCTGAGCACACGTGGAGCTGCCCCTCTTCCTCAGCATGTGCACATTCAGTCACCCTACAACATATCTAATATGAGGCATAATAACAAAAACACTTGACTAACAGAAATACTAAAGACTGAGCCATTCTTCTCCTTCCAGGAAACAAGAAAAATGGAAAACCTGTGGATTCTGCCACCTGATCAGACCCCACTGCATGCTGGCCATTTTCCTGAAGCTCTTTCATGCCTGCTTTTTCCTCCCTGCTTTCCTTTATCTCTTACCAATCCTCACAACCTTCTCTCCATATAATAAGACCCCATATACAAAAGCAGGGGGGGAAAGGGGAGAGGAATTCCTTGTTTTGCTTAAACTGGTGATGGGTGGTGTATGACACATAGAGGCTAACAGCTGCAGGGTGGTGCCTGCTGCCTCTGACTGATGATAAATTAGTAACTCTTTGGATCCAAAACGAAGTTAGGATTTTGGCAGCCCTTCCCTGCTCTTCTTGGCTAACGCCCCCCTGCAGCCAACATACCACAGGAGAAACAAATGTCTGATGCTTGTCAGTGCAAAAACTGTTTGGAGTCTAAGCCAGCCTCAGATGCACTTCTAGAGCTGTGGCTTTTGTAGGATACACAAGCAAATGTGCAGCACTTGCTTCAGTGCAGTCTAGAAGCTCGGCCTGGCTGGTGCCAGCAAAGGTGATCTGAACCTAGGTGGGCTGTTCAGTTCTCTTCAGTCAACAGCTCCTGGGGACAGAAATGATGTCCTGGGTGGGGACAGGCACTGGTACTCAAGGAAGCTGCCACCCTCACCTTGTCCTTAGCCATCCTCACTGTGAAGAACCTGAATGGGCTGTGCAGTTGCCTCCAGGTCAGGCCTGTGGCTTCATCAAACATCACTGTTACTTCAACAAACTTCTGAGAACCAGAGTGTGCCTCATGCACCTCTTACTCATTGCAGGTTATGGTGGTGAACGGAAGTTGGACAATTACGTGACTGGAAAATAGATATGTAAAGTTGCTCCCTCTGGATCTGCACAAACAATTTGATGCAATCTGTGCCAGATGCTAATTCAATTTCCTCTTTCCATCGCTTTTACTTGTTTTTTCCAATAAAGCCATCCTAGCTGTTGGGTAAGATTAAGGAACACTTGAAATGTGACAGGCCAACTACCAATGGCTGTTGGTTCCTATATAAAGCAGACTATCATACTTTTGTTGTTTCAGCAAGCTCTTGCTCATTAAACAGTATTTTAATCCTGAGCAAGATAAGGGCAAGGATGTCCAACCTGCCCTTGATGTGGTCTGTATTTTCATAAACAACTACAAATATTTGATCAAAGAAGTAAAATTTTCAGTGAAGTGTAGATCCCTGAGTGTCTCCAGTGGTTGTGAACAGAGACAGCCAGGTGACAGAATGGATACACAAAAAAGGTGAATTCAGATTATAACTACAGAAACATAAACTGCATGCCTGAAAAAATACCCGTCCAAATTGATCAGGAAAAGAGAGAACAACACACAGTGACAAAATCCCTATTTAAATCCAGCAAAGGATATCCAATTCATTGCACATTGCAAGGGAAAGAAAAAAAAAAAGATGTTGTAGATTATGTTGAAAAATGGGAGCCTTGTGATAATGTTTTGGTTTTTTCCCTTTGCCACCCAAAGCTTTATGAATAGGAATTCAAGGTTAGGGCACAGCTGTTGCCATGTCCATTATCAGAGCCACAAGGCTGTGTGTGGGCAAAGCAAAGGTCAATGTGTGGAGTGTGTGAGCCGAGCCAGAGAGGGAAGGTGCTTACGTGCTGATAGAGTTTCTTGCCGAAGGTCTCGCGCTGAGCCGCGCGCTGGCACAGGATCTCCAGAGCAGCCTCGGCCGCTCCGAGGGACCGCATGCAGTGATGGATCCGGCCTGGCCCCAGCCGGCCCTGGGCTATCTCAAACCCCCTGCCCTCACCTGGTTGGAAAGAAAAGCAGGCACTGCAGACTCCATGATTCCCTCTTGAAAGGGTCCAAGTCTCCAAGCAGAAGTGGCCCCATAGCAAAATAAAAGTAGAGGCGAAATAGAAGAAATCAGGATCTATACTGAGTGAGAGAAGTAGAGCAGAGTTCCCCCTGCAGGGGGTCACAGTGCTGGCC